AACGCTTTTAGTAATTGATTTTCATCGAATTTATCGATTCGTTGTTGCAGCCCTACTTGCATAACCCGATTTAAATGCGGACGTTGGGGTAGCGTCAGGACGTATGGACTACGTCCAGATGCAATATGCATCATTTCCGGTTCTTCTTGTTCCGGTATCCGTGAAAACAACAACATGTTTCCCAGTTCGGAAGAGACAGCGACCGCGTTCGTTTGTGCTTTAGTTTCTTCGTCACTCCAAAAGTGTGGTGCTGTGCCGCGACTCGCCATTTTGCTCCCAACTTGTTGTTTACTTCCGGTGTTCTGGCGCATACAAGACGTCTCGCTATGCAAAAGACCAAGATTCCTTGCGAACAGAGCATGTGCAGAACACATGCTTTGATGGGGATATCCCGGTATGCGTTTACACGACCAAACATTCGGGTTAGAAAAGGGTTACCCCCGGTTATGAGCATATCTGGGTTTTTGGCGGTGTTTTCAAGGACCTGCGGAACCAGGTTATTGTGAATATTCGGGTTTTAAAAGGGTTACTGGCTGCATGTAAACGCACTCAGTGATTCAGCAAATCTGAACTCACAGGCTCCAAACAGCCTGCAGAACTGTGAATCTTATGTAACTGTCAATGTTACCTGAAAGGGCCAAACTATATTTTTTTGCAAGAGTCAAACTTCTGTAGCCATGGTCACAAAGGGCTATTAAATGAGTGGACTATTAAACACGTGTGGGATTGACACAGACACAGATTTATCTCAACAGAGCCTGGATTTATCTACAAGTATTTTGATGATGAGCAAGGAACATTGACTAAATTCATTTTTGTACTGATCAAATGAATTTTGAACTAGATCTTGTTAAGGATAAACTGGTACAACTCTGCCAAAAAAACAAACGTAGCGACCTGTGTTTGGTTTGTGATCACAAGGGGGTGCTATCATACACATTCTACTTCTGAGAGAAAAAAACAAGAGTTGAAGAAAACATGTGCTAGCTATCTTATCTGCATTTTTAAGCTAGATTCCATGAGCAACTAGCCTGGCAAGCCAGATTAAATAAATGTATTATTTAGTGGCCATGCTCCATTGACGGCTCTCGGTTGTGGGGCGGGTTCTACCGTTGTATTTCAAATGATCTCCGCATTCCACTGGACAATGAATGTGACATACTCTTGTTTCACTCTGTTGAATCATCCCACCCACCAGGCATATAGAGTGCCCTGATTGGCCCACAAAGCGGATAAAGCTCTGTGATTTGTTCACTAAGCAGATAGAGCACTATGATTGGCCCACCATTATGGACCAATCACAGCTCTTTTTGTGTTTGAAACCCCTCTAGAGAGCTGTGATTGGCCAGCCAGAGTCCTGGTAGGAGCTGCTGAGGTTCCAATGGAGCATGCCTAGACCATTCTTTGCAAAGCAAGAATTTGGTCTAGTTCATTAGGCTAATGAGCAACAGCAGCACAAACGATAATTTTAGCAGCACAAACCAGCACAAATGTAGCACAATTGATTTACACCAGTTTTGTTTGATTCCATTAATGTGGGGGGGCTGGTTGACCTCTGATGACCTCCAGAAATTTTTATTAATATCTTTAAAACGATAGTAGCCCAAACAAAAATTTTTGCAGCACAAACCAGCACAAACGTAGCACAATGGTTTGATACCACTTTTGTTGGATTTGAAGAAGGTGGGGGGGCTGGTTGACCTTTTGACCTTTACATTTTCATTAATATCTTCAAGACAGAAGCAGCACAAATGGCAATTTTAGCAGCACAAACCAGCACAAACGTAGAACAGTTGATTGACACCAGTTTTGTTTGATTCCATTAATGTGGGGGGGCTGGTTGACCTCTGATGACCTCCAGAAAGTTTTATTAATATCTTGAAAACGATAGTAGCACAAACAAAAATTTTTGCAGCACAAACGTAGCACAATGGTTTGATACCACTTTTGTTGGATTTGAAGAAGGTGGGGGGGGGCTGGTTGACCTTTTGACCTTTACATTTTCATTAATATCTTCAAGACAGAAGCAGCACAAACGACAATTTTAGCAGCACAAACCAGCACAAACGTAGAACAGTTGATTGATACAGTTTTGTTTGATTCCATTAATGTGGGGGGGCTGGTTGACCTCTGATGACCTCCAGAAATTTTTATTAATATCTTTAAAACGATAGTAGCACAAACGAAAATTTTTGCAGCACAAACCAGCACAAACGTAGCACAATGGTTTGATACCACTTTTGTTGGATTTGAAGAAGGTGGGGGGGCCAACTTCACTCAGGTTTTAAAGCTTTATAACCAAGGCATTAGGTGGAAAATGTTGAAATCTAAACTACAGCATTAAAAGTTGAATGGAGCTCGATTTTTGTACATGTACTGGTTAAGTGTATCAGTCATGGTAGTCTGCACTATTCTGTTTAAACATTAGGTTTGTTGAATCGGTCTGATCACTAAAAAGATCATCCCCGCTTGGAGAAAGCTTGAGCTGAAGATTAGTTTTTGAAAGATGTAAACAGATCATTCAAGCATGGTGATGGAGGCATGATGATGCGGGCTTGTTTTTTTATTCCTTTCAGCCACAAAACCAGAACGGTTTTTAGAGCATCACTGCTGACTGAAAATGACTAATTCAGCTGGACAATGATTCTGGGAATGAGAGTGAATCCTCGACAAAATTACTGAGAAATATGATGATTAATGTGGCAATAGTTCATGGAGATGCATTGGAATAATGCAGTGAGACAGAAGACCGTATCATCACTTTGAAGAACTATAAGTAAAACACCCATTTCCCCACCAATAAATAATTGTACACCTGTCAATACATCCTCAATTTGTTAATAGGTGTTAATTATTTTCTTATTTGAAGTTTTAAGGCTTGATGTATTTTCGTTGCTAATGAGAAGAACACCATGTTCATCCTGGGTTAAGCAACACATCCGGTGTTGGGTTGAGCGATTCGGATGGGCTGAATCCTCCTTTAAAATTTTCATAGCATTTTCTATTTTCACTTCCTCTATGGTTTTTTGAACAGTACTTTGCTGAAATTCTGCTGGAAAATGAGCCATGGCAGTGTCACTACAGAGTTATCTTAATGGGACCATGTGAGGCTCCTGCAGCAGCAAGTCTCAAACTTGACATAAAAAGGTACTATAATTGTATTCAGAAACATCCAAATTATGCAAAAATGTTAGAAAATCCAGAAAAGCAAGCCACAGATTTTCTAATTTACCCTTTTGCAAAGTGATTTTCCACATTTATTTAGGCAGCAATAAATGATACCTGCATCATCAAACTGAAAGAAGTCAAAAAGAACATATTTTACTTTTTCAGATTTTTTTTCAGAAATCAACCCTTTAAAAGCATCTCCTGACTCACAGTCACAGATTAATTCATGGCATTCCTGTGTACAATATTAAGTTGATGGTTTTGGATGAAAAGAAAAAGAATGAAAAAGTGAATTTTGTTGCTTACTTTAGATTTGACTTTGATAAGCTTTAATGGATTTCTAAACTTGTGAACTGTATCAGTTGGTTTAAGATTAAAATATCTAACTGTGTTAAATCATGAGGTTTTAAATGTGTGAAACACAAAATATTTTATAATGATCATTGAGTTTTTCATGCAGGCTAAGCACAATAAAAGTCTCCTACACCCATCTCCTGCATTAGCTTCAGTTAGAAACTAGACAGTGAAACTGGGGTTTTAAAAGCCTGACAGATCTACATCACACTGTCACTTAACACTGATGAACTCACCCTTCTTGACTCAAGGCAGGAAAGGCTTTTGTTTCAGTGTCTAGGAAACTGCAGAGAACGTCTCGACAAGTAGAAGCCAACTGTTAGCATTAGCAACGCCACCACACAGCAGTACTCCTTCGTGTTATTTGTGGACATAAAAACATCTACGTTGCAGAGCAAACAGAGTCTGTGGGAGTTGTGTTGCTGTTAGCCAATCAGAGGCGAGATGCCTTCTAGGGTTCTACATCCCCTCAAGGTGATTCCCAACACAATCAGTCATCCTCCCTTTCACACACAGGCGAGGATGAGCTACAATAGCCACAGCTGCCGTAGGGCACACTGACAGAGGCGAGGCCTGCCAAGCACAGGCACCACCGGTCCCTCCGACTACCACCAGCAGGCAAGGCGGGTTAAGTGTCTTGCCCAAGAACACAACAGCACAAGTGTCTGCTGGGAGCCGGGATTGCACCTACAACCTTCACATTACTGGACAACCCACCCTACGTCCTGAGCCACTGATTTCCAAATATCAGGAAATAAGACCCCAAATCCTGCCATGTTAGGCTCCCCTCTGATGTGGCATTCTGCTAGTTCCTGAAATAAGCGCACCTAAGCTTATTTTTTCTCCCCAATATGACGTGAAAGGCATTCACTCCTACTAGAGTCCACTGAAAACGTTTGGGTTAAACAAATGTCCCAAGCATTTAAGTTGTAGTATTTCTGTTTACGTCCTGAAAGATAGAGTAGATCAAGACATTAGTGACTATCCAACACTGTGTTAACTGTAGTACAAAGGAAAGCAGCCATAATTTGAATGTACTATTTATTATATTAGATAATCTGGTGTAATTCCTTCTTATTTTGGGGTTCAGTTGGCCACATCCAGAATAAACCTGTGCACAAATTCAGATGATGATCTTCTCAGACACCCATTGTGGCCACAGGTTCTCATCCATAATTATGTTGGGTACCTCAACAGTGTTTCGCTGAAAATGTTAGTACTGGCAGATTGTTTCCCAGGTTCCAGGAAAGGAAAGATAACAATGCTGGTCCCTGCAAAATGTCAAGATCAGCAGATCATTCAAAGAGCTAAACTCTATTTCCAATCATCAGTCTTTATAGTTCTTCTAATCTCAAGTTGACATCAGCAAGTTTTTGAATCAGACATGCTGTAAAATGGCGAAAGTGGCAGGTTATTAAGTGCAAGCGAACTTTAAACTTTGGCTTTGCAGATAAAAACTCTCAACTTTAGCCTAGTTGATGTAATAAAGGTGTCCCTCTGGTACTTCATGGGCCAGGTAGTCACTTTGCATTTCTTGTTGGGTTCCCTACTTTGTGGCCCAACTCTTCAGACATGAAGCAGTTATTTGTGCTGCTGTCAGGTACAGAGTTTTAAATTTACATTATAAAGCAGTTTACAAAGTAACTTTTAGTTTTAATTTTGCATTTTAACTGTTTTCACAGCATGGCTGGCCATGGTGTCCTGTTGTCCAGATGGGAACTTTTCCTGCTCATCTGGAGAATGTCTACCTGCTAAAATCGTTTGTGATTTTCAGAAGAATTGCAAAGATGGATCAGATGAGGAGTTTTGTGGTAAGCTGTCTCTTCTGCATGCCCTTTAACTGATTTAAACTTTGCAACAGCCATTTTGTGCCACAGTCGGGTGTGTTTAGTACACAGTTCTTAACTTTGTTCAGTTGAGGGTTTCTGGTTTAGAAGATGGTTGGTTGAAACATTGGTGACTAAATCCTTGGCCTTTTGAGGCTGCAAGATATTTAACCACTTTGTAAACCCTGCATCATCAAGGCTCCTGTGATTTTGAGGACCACTCCTGTGGTTGGAAGGACATCAGTGCTACAGCCTACAAATGGAGCTGGAAGATGGCAAACGTCACCTCCATACCTGGACAAGACCACACCACAGGAAGCCCCTGGGGTAATAATTAGTACTGACTTCTTAACTCAAACGTCAAACCTTTGTGATGAAATGTGATCTGCAAAATCCAGATAATGTTTAACTGGATGTTCTTTGTTCACTGAACACAGGGCATGTCATGTACTTAAATGGTAAAGAAGGGAACTTCTTTGACCATGCTTATTTGGAGTTCTCTGTGAACCGCTCTCTCGGTCTAGGTTGCCAGATCAGGTACTGAAAGGACATATATGTTGCACAGATAATAAATCCATTTCCTTGCCAGTAATAAGTTGTTTATATTTGTTTTTCAGCTTTTGGTACCACATTTATGACCCCAAGCCTTTGTCAATATCATTGTCAACACTTGAAATAAAAATGGTTCGAGGTAATTCAGCAAGATCCTTGCTGGAGATTTCTAAGGGGGAGACAAAAGGTTGGGAGAACGCCACGGCATTTATCGGAAATCAGCCCGGTGGCTACAAGGTTGGTCAAGTACCCTGTGTTATAAAACTCTGCACAGATACAATCATCTGAAACTATTTAGAGAGGTGTTGTATTTATATTTAAATTAATCCTACTACTGTCCGTGCTCTTTTTTCTTGTTACACAGTTGCTGTTTTCATACAGTACTGCAATTCTGGAGACCAAAGACGTGATGTTGGATGATGTCAGCTTTGAGTTCTGTGGAGAGGAAGACATCCCAGACGGGTCAGACCGACTCTCGTGCGATTTTGAAAAGGACACCTGTTCATGGTATCACGACTACACAGCAAGTCTTTTATGGAAAAGAAGCAGCGGGTATTATGGTGATGTAACGGGCAATGGTGAGAAGCTAGAGAGTCATCAATTTCGTGCTTTGCAAAATAAATCTAAACCCAAAAATGAGCTGATTTTTTTCCCCACAGGCTACTTCATGCTCATACAAGCTTCATACTCCCTGAACATATCATCAACAGCCCGACTCATCAGCTTCCCTCAACCTGTAGGTCAAACCATATGTGTGAGCTTCTTTTACTACATATTTGGAAACAGTATTGGTATGTAGCTCAATTCTCCTAAGCGTACAAAATTATACCAAACTTTGTTCCATGATGTAGTTTCTATTGATATTCTGATCTGATCAGGCACATTGAAGTTTATTGAAAAGCGTTCCGGTGAAGCAGAAACTGTCGTATGGATGCGAAGTGGCACTCAGGGAAACAAATGGAGGTTTGCAGACCTCACCTTCAACAGTGACAAACCAATCCAGGTATCTTCAACTTTCTGTCTGTATTTTCTGTTTGGAGGAGAGAATCAATGTATTGTAACTCTTGAAACATTCTTAAATTAAACATTAATGAATCCATGTCAAACCTCTCTCCAGTTCATCATAGAAGCTGAGGTGGGGGGTAAGCAGGGTAGCATAGCCATCGATGACCTTGTGGTGTTGACTGGTTCCTGCCCCCCTGAGAGAGAGTGCACCTTCCAGGGCTCTCTCTGTGGCTTGCAGCCCCAAGCATCTTCAGACTTTACTTGGAACCGAATCACTGGGGCCTCCCAACCAGCCAACTCTTCAGGCCCCTCCAGGGACCACACTCTGGGGACAGAATATGGTTTGTTACACAAGGGGACAACAGCTGGTCTGTGCCCACAGCTGTCTGTGCTCTAACTCCCTTTCTGTGCAGGTTATTATCTGAGTGCAGAACTGTGGAGACATTCTGCTGGGTCCAAAGGAGCCATGATGACAGCAGTGATGGAGCCCACTCCTTCCAATGGGGAGTGTCTGATGTTCTGGTACTACATGGAGGGGGGAGGAGTGGGGGAACTCAGTGTTTACATTCAAACAGCTGAAACCCCCATCAAGCTGTGGACCAGAAAAGGAGATCAGGGGACACACTGGAGGCATGGAAGAGTAACACTTAACAGCCCTGGTACCAAATATCAGGCAGGAGCAGAACCAGTTTATCAGACAATGATCTAGAATCTCTTCAACCTGTTATTCAGTGGTCTAACTCTGTGTGACAGGTGATTCTTGAAGCCATAGCTGGAGATGGACCAAGGAGAGACATTGCCATTGATGACCTCACAGTTCTGAATGGCGCCTGTCCTCCTGCAGGTATCTGACCACTGCAAATATTGAATAAACTCCCTTCACTTTGTGGGCATGTTTTAATGGGATGTCCATGTTTTTTTTTACTGAAGGCTTTTGTGATTTTGAGATGGACTTCTGTGGTTGGGTCAACAGTCCTCCACCAGAGTCTGGAGTAGACTGGGACTGGCTCTCAGGTGAAAGTGAGGGTCAGATGGTTCCACGGAGGGACCACACTACCGATTCTTCTTTAGGTAAGAGACCACGCTCTGACAAAATGACCATCAGCAGCAGCAGCAACCTTTTTTGTATACCATTTTTACCTTCTCAGTGGCCTAGTGGTATGAGTGTCCGCACTGAGACTGTCTCCAGCTCACCGTTCCCCTTGGAGATGGGTCAATGCGGAGATGTTCATTAGTGTGTGATGACGACTAATGAGATTTTAACTTTAATAATCCGAGGGATACCCAGAGTGCTGAACATATAAAAACATTTACAAATAAACTACAGCTGTTAAGAATAGTCACTAAAAGCTCTATAAACGGGAAACAAAAATACAAAATGGCAACACTGTTCATTGTTTGATCTGCACGAAAGCTGGCGTGTACAAATGACCAGAATAATTAGTACTTTTTATTCCAACACAAACATTACTGTTTAAAAAACCATTAAAGTTGTTATGTAAGTGGGAAAGTGGGGTATTTGATGAGTTCAGTTTTACATAATTGTATTCATAATGAGAATCTGAAGTTTTGGTAATATGTGCATGCACAGAGGACATAATTCTCTGTTATATTATGTCTCCACAGGCCACTTTGCATTTTTCAAGCCCTTTGAGTCCAACAGGGAAGGAGTTGCCAGACTGGAGAGTGAGTTCATGGAGGCTGTAGATCAGGCTTGTCTTAGGATCTGGCACCATGCTAAAGGATGGTCTATAAATAGTGAGTGTTTTATTTCTTTTCATTTTCATTAAAATTTGACGTATTGTGTCCTCTTTGATTTGTTTTGGGGGATTTTAAACAATATTAATAAAATCCTTTAATCTAAATATATATATAAATAATCAATGAAGCTGTTTATTGGTATATTCTTCGTGTTTTCTACTCTTTGTATTTTTTCATATTATGAATTCATGAAACTTACTAGTTTGGTATTTGAACAGTGTAAATTAAGATCAAAAATTATTTTAATAGATAATGTTTTTTATTCTTGTTTTATTTAAAGAAGGTTAATGTTGTTTTTGTTTATTTCTGGTGCTTGTAGGACCTTCTGCTTTTACACTGACGGTGTTTGTGAACGAGACCGGTAAACTGCAGCCAGTGTTTAATACGAGCGGTTACACTAATAGCTCCTGGATCCAGGACAGTGTGGATTACAAAGCTTCAGGTCAACATCAGGTATTAGATTCATGACTGCATTTTGTATCCTGAGGATTTGTTACTAAATACTTACTTTTATAAGGATTTCTTGCATCAACTGAGCTGATTTTTAAATATTACAGATTATTTTACAAGTTCTGCGTCCAGCCAAAGGAGACGGAAGTTTCTCGCTGGATGATATCCACATCATGAGAGGTGAATCTTGTGATGACAACATCCTCACCACGACCACTACAATCCCTCCCACCACCACCACAGCTCCTGACACCACCATGGACTGCACCTTTGAAGAAGGTGAATTTATTTTATCGTGAAACTGAAACACTTCATGTTGAAACATTTATTTGTGGAGATTTTTTTGCATTTATTTGCATTTAAACATGTCTTCTGTATGACAGGTTTGTGCAGCTGGACCCATGAGAGTGATGATACCAGCTGGACTCTGAGTAATGGACTTCAGGCGAAAGGGCTGTGGAATGGGCCTCTTTATGATCATACTGTCGGTAACAATCAAGGTATGAACTATATAAAACAACACACACACGAAAGTGGATTTGTTTAAACACAAAGAAAAAGATTCTGTGTTTTTACCCTAATTTCCCAAAGGTTTCTTCCTACTGCTGAATGGTTCTGGCTCCAAGGAGGACGAGAAAACTGTCATTTCTGTTCCTGTTGTTGATCGTGGATCAAAAAGTTGTGTTGAATTCTGGTATTACAGTCTCGGACCTTCAGTTTCCACCCTGAATCTGCTCATTCAGACCGTAAGTAAGCATGATGACTTGCTTTGTAAATATAAAGTCAAAATTAGGTTTAACTTTGCAGAAAACTTTTTTTATTCCAGAAATTTTCTGAGCTGTTAGTCTGGACTCGTCAGGGGACCCAGAACTCCGAGTGGATGAATGCAAAAGTAAACATAAACATAAGCGACGCATTTAAGGTAGATTTGACTTTATCTTTTGCTTAATTCACTTAAACTCATTCTGCCCAATGATTATCTTAATTATGATTCCAACAATACTTGTTTATTGCAGAAAGAGAAATCATAAACATGTTTTACTTTTTATTTCACACATATCGCCCTTCTGTCTTTAGATAATGATCACCGGATATAAAAACATCCACAGCAGAGGATTTATGGCTGTTGATGACATCACTGTGAGAGAAGGAGTCTGCAGTGATCAGAGTAAGTAGAAAATAAACTTTTAAAAGAGCACAAAATATGGAAGAAATTGGTCAAAATTGTCTTTATTTGTCTTTTCTATTGTATTATTTATTTATTTATTTATTTATTTATTTTGCTTATTTACTTCAGGTGTGTGTGGATTTGATTCAAGTTCGTGTGGCTTTGAGAATAGCGTTGATCACAGGGGGCGCTGGGAACGCCGAAGAGCAACTAAATCTCGTGTGGATCACACCTATGGGACTGAAAATGGTAATGGCTCCCATTCTGGATTTGAACTTGTTAGACTTTTAGCAAGAAGGGAACTGGTAGTTTGCAAAAATTATGATCAGTGGTAACGTCCTTGCTTATATTTAATTTGAGCATCTTGATGTAAATGTAGATTTCCTTTTTTTTATTTCAAATTTTCTGATGCAAAAAGTCCTGCTTTTGTTTTTTACAGCACATTTTTGTCTTTCTGTTGCAAAAGTGCAAATGCTCAAAACAGAAGAAGCTGGCATTCTCACAGACTGCTGCTGCTGCACTTATTCAAAAAGAGGATTCGTAGTTGAGAGGCCTCCAGCATATAGTTTAGTTTATAAAACTATGATTGAAAATGCATATTTACACACAGGTACCAGTTCAAATTTTTAAATTTGGAATTTTTAAGCTGTGTTTTTAATCCTCGTAATTATACAAAGTGGCAATTAAAAGTTGAATGTTGGTTTGAAAGAAAATATTAAGCTAACATTGGGCCTACCAAAATAAAAGTGAGATAGAATAATCACCTGTTCATCATCTCACAATTTCTTTTTATGATTTTTTATCAGTGTTCCTGTCAGGGTTCTCACTGCACAGTGCAAATGATCCATGGTTAAACAGAATGGCACAATCTCACCTTCAAGGACAGGATCTCTTCACCTTACTTTTAATTTAGTAGGCTAATTCTGTTTTACAAAAAACTGGGATTTGCAAATTAGCTTTAGCTCAAAATGCACAATTTTATTTTCAGATTTTAATATTTAGATTTAAATATACAATCAAATTTGATTCAAAATATGTAGGTTGATATCAGTTGAATCAATCAGCCTGATGCTAATATGTCTTGGCCTTGGCCATGTCTTTAATTTTTTCTTGGTTTAGCTTCCTAGTCAGCACTGCATAGTCAGTTGTTATACTGTTGCTGCTATGCAGGTGTTAACATGTTGACCTGGCTTTTGCATGTAGGTCAGGTGTCTAAAGAAGCATTCTTACCCCCTTAAAAAACTATCCTAGTAACAACCACCCTTTATGTAGGTTTCTTTATGGCTGTGATGAATTCAAGCTCTACACAGGAGGAAGTAGCTGAGCTGTTCTCACCAGAGTTCAAGTCAGCTGCAGAGATGTGTGCACGCTTCTGGTGAGTCCACAGCCATCGCACTCATTTATTCTTTGATTCGTATATTATTGTTCATGATGTCATTTTTTCAGGTACCGATTGCCTGTCAATTCCTCCAACGCCCTTTCTGTTCATGTGATGAGAGCCGGGTTGCTTGGCGACGCCCTTTGGCAGCGATCTAGATTACCCACTAGTGGCTGGGAGGTGTCAGAAGTCACCGTGTCTTCACCTGCACATTTCTTTGTAAATTATTTTTAGTATAAATTTTTGCCAACAAAAATAATAAGAATTAACATTTTTCCTCTATTTCCTTTATTGTGTTACTTATTTTATTGTTTTTTCAGGTGGTATTTCGTGCTGTCCATGTGCCCGGCACCAGTGACACAGTAGAAATTGATGATTTTTCAGTGAGCGAAGGTGCCTGTAATCCTCCTGCTACCTGTGACTTTGAGTCTGGACATTGCAACTGGGTCAACAGCATGAATGAAGATGGACATGACTGGGTTCTGGTCCATGGAGGACCAAATGGTCCACCAGCAGACCATACCACTCAGACATCAGATGGTACAATCACCATTGATATTAAACCCACTCCTAATGACTTTTCACAGTGTAACAAACACAACTGTGGATCAAAACACGACTAATGTGGTCAAGGTTCATTCTCACTGCTCTAAGTAGCCTCCTTTAAAGTTGACTTCACTTTTTGTCCCTGACTTTTGTCACATTAAGTGTTTGTTCTTCCTCTTGCTCTGCAAAGATTTTCTTTTTGTCTGAAACTTGAACTCCAACAAACAATGAAAATGTCTCCACTGTAAGATTAATCTTTTTCCAAGTATGCATATCATCTTTTCTTGTATTCTAATGCTTATTTTTGCATGCAGGTTGGTTTTTATTGAGTTCAGCTCAACACCAGAGCCAACCCAGTGTAGCTCAGGTTGTGTCTGAATGGATCCACCTGAGAGACGCCTCATCTTGTCTCACCTTTTGGTACCACATGCACAACAGGTCAGCAAAATAAAAAACAAGTCATGTTTTTTTTCCCCACTAGTTACAGTATGTGACACTGAAGTGTAAGGATGTACTTTATCCTGTTGTTTAGTTTCCTCACTGACTTCCTCAGGAAGTGTGCACAAATGTCATTCAGTCATGAATCACCTGCTTCACTTTGTGCAAGACTGGGAGAATTCTGTGGCAGAGTTCATTTTTACCGATATCTGAGAACTTTAACTCCACGTGCAGCATCTCTAGCTGAAGCAACCTCCAGCTGATGGCTTATGAGGATGTTGCTGCTAGCTTATTTTTCTGCACATTTCAGTACTAACCCACAGATTCATTAGAATAGTTACTAGATCAGAATCATACGCATCTTCTTCCCCTTTAACTCATAAACGAAACCTTTTGACAGCCTATGAAGTAAACATGTCTTAAATGTGTGTTTTATTCATTTATAAAATTATATTAACTGATGGAAAAAATATCTAAACAGTTTTATGTAAATTCATGTATTCACTCACATACTACGTCAATGGATCTCCATCCTCCTAAATATCCCTCTCAGTCCACTTTAGTAAACCTTTTCGGAATAGTATATACATATATATATATATATAGTAACACCTTAGTTTAAGGAACACAGATTAACCATTAATTAGCTGCCAATTAATATGCATCTTAGTGGACTACTAAGTCTGAATTAGTCATTATTAAGCTATTATTAGGTGCTAATGACCAATGCTTTAATTCTAACATTAACAAGCCATAAATCGAGAGTTTTATCAAAATAAGCCATTCATAAGGGTTTGTTTACTGAAAGTAATTGGTTTGTTGCTGATTAACGCACATACTAATTAGCTCTAATCAATATGTGGCTTTTGACGAAGTAATTCATGGCAAACATATTTTTGCCTTTAAATGTTTAATTAATACTAAACTACTAGTAATTAGGTATGAACAAAACCTGACTTTAGAAAGGGGAACATATTCTTGCTTACAAGTGGTTAATTGTTTGTTGTTTAGGCTCTATTAACATGTGGAGTTTGGTATTTATTTACATAATACCAGACCATATTTTTGGTTATGAATGCAGAATAGCTATTCCCCTTGAATTACATGCACCTAATAATAGCTTAATAATGACTAATTAAGGCTTAGTAGTCCACTAATATGCATATTAATTGGTAACTAATTAATGATTAATTTGTGTTCCCTAAACTAAAGTATATATATATATCTATATCTATATATATATATATATATATATATATATATATATATATATATATATATATATATATATAGATATAGATATAGATATAAATATAGATATAGATATATTTGACAAGCCAGTGTTCTACAGGGGATATTAAATTAAAACGTAGTTAGAATAAAGGATGGCATTAACAGCTCTTCATCTTCCTTTTGTTTGGTAATGTTCCAGATATTGCTTTTATGTCTTATTATTCTGTACTCTATCATGTTGGTCTTGTTTTTATTTCCTAATTGTTGTTGGATGAGGCTTCAGTTAAGCATTTTTACTCATCTAAATTTTACATTTTTTAACTGTGCAAATAAATAAAATTAATAAAGTACGCTTAAATATTATATAAATAGAGTTAAATCACTGAAGAATCGATCTTACACTTCTTTCTTTTTTCTTCATCTGTCTCCCTTCTTCTAGAATAGCTAACCTTAACCCTTCTTCTAGAATACAATTAGCTTCATGTCCTCTCTGACTGCATCCATCTCCTTTTTGGTCTTCCTCTCTAACCTCAGCTTCTCTTCTGAACATGTCCGCTCCATCTTAATCTGGCCTCTCTGACTATTTAATCTCAAAATCATCTAGCATGAGCGGTCCCTCTGATGGACTCATTCATGATCCTATCCATCCTTGTCTCTCCCAAAGAGAAACTCAACATCTTGAGCTTTGCAACCACCGGTTCTGCATCCTGTTTTGTCCTTGTGGACACTGTCTTAAAACCGTCACTGGTACGGTCTTCTGCACCTTTCTTTTTATTCTTGCTGAAAGGATAATTTAAACATGCTAAAAATGGGACCTATGAGAATCTCTAAACATTTGTTGCTTTCATTTAAAAAGAAAATAATTTTCTTTTTTAGAAAACGATTAAAGTCAGAGCTGAACTGAGGAAAAATTTGTGACATTAAATTATTCATTTTGATTAAACTAGCTGGTTTTTACACTTTAAACCAAATCATGATTTTATTTCTATCCTTTCAGTGACTCGGGGACACTAAAAGTGTTTTCACGTACAGACTCCTCAGAAGAGGCTCTGGTTTTCCACAGTAGCAACAGCAGCAACAACTGGAGCAGATTTTCTCAGTCTCTGGAGATCTCCAAACCTTTCCAAGTACTAATGCTGCATTTCATGTAAGATCTGATTGTCAAAGAATGTTGATTTAATGGTTATTCTTTACTCAAAACAACAGCTTTTGATCAAAGCAGAGTCTAACAACCAAGGATTTATCGCCATCGATGATGTCAGTCTCATACCAGGACCGTGTCGAGGTGCTGATGTTTTCTGATGTTTTAAACTCTTCATTGGATTTTGTTTCTCAATTGAAATAATGTAAGCTAACTTTTTTTTTTTGAACAGCTAACGAAACTTCTATAGGATTTGTTGGCTGTTCGTTTGAAAATGGGACATGTGACTGGGAAGATGTGAGTGTTGGTCAGTTTCAGTGGGTGAGAAGGAATGCTACTGGGAACACTGGACCCCCTATGGACAACACACTAGGAACTGAATTGGGTATGGTTCCTAAACTATGGGATGGCACTGATTAATATTGACTTTTTTTGGACTTCTCCAGATGCAGCAAAGTGAAGAGTGTATCACGATAAGAGCTTTGTGGAAAGGGGTAAAATAAAAAACAGCTGAATATGAAATTTTGATTTCTGTTTCCTGTTTGAAATGTGTGTTCGAGATGCTGGGTGATGTTTCCTCATCACGGCTCGGATTGCACAATTTTTAATGCTGCCAAACAGGAAACGGACACTTGTTTGAAGTATTTCCTAATGTCCACGTTAAAATTTCAGTTTTTCAACTTTCAATGTATTTTCCTGGTTCCTCTTAGAATATCAAGAGATTTACAAATAAAACAAACTTTGGAGCAGATTAGCAGTCCTCATTGACACCAAACTGCATCTGAACTGTTCTACCCGATCGTATTTCTAATATTGAATGTATTTGCTGAGATTTTCACAGTAACGAGAGTTTTAATGATTCTTCTAGGTTGGTTTGTAGCAGTGGAGGCTGATCGAGGGGAAGAAATGAGCCCCGCTGCTCTGCAGAGTCCCATGATGCAACAAGCCAGTTCCACCTGCACATTGCACTTTTACTACAACATGAATGGAGAGGGTATGTCTAACATCTGCACGATTGTAAAAGTGAGAGTTTTAAGGTTCTGCCTTCTGTCACACATTTATGATTACTGGTAACTTTTGCAGAATCAGAACTCAGAGTGCTCCTAAAGGTTGGCCCCAGAACCACCACACTCTTGTGGCTATCTGGTAACCATGGAGATGCGTGGCATCATAGTGAGGTTATGGTCGGCAGGAGCCCTCAGGATTTTACCATCCTGTTTGAAGCCTCTAGGAACTTCAACGAGCCAGAATATGTTGCACTTGACGATATCATCTTCACAAACTGCTCTCTCCCAGGTGCGCCACCAGATTTGAACAATTCTTTTCAAACCAATTAACAATAATTAAACTAACTTTTTTCCATCTGTAGCTCCTGAGTCATGGTGTCCTGACAGTATGTTCAAATGCAACAACAGAGTGTGTGTTGACCCTAATCAGGTGTGTGACTTCAGTGATGACTGCGGAGATGGATCTGATGAGCTCAGCTGTGGTGAGATATTAAATCATATCTGAGAAACATGAGTATCACATGTAAAGCCTGTGCACTTTTCCATTACTCATAATTAAAGCTAAGTACAATTATAAATTAAAAAAAAAAACATTAATTAAGAAGGATTTAAATAATGTGTCCTACAAGAAAATGTCGTATCTGTGGATAGCTCTTCTTGACATGAACTTTTTGGTGTAATTTAAGTTTTATGAAAATATTTACAAAACTGAAATGGAAGTTTAGTCAAACAATAAAGTACTTCTGGATAAAATGTAGTAACCTGCAATTAGTTGCCTCCTTTTTATGCTATAACTTCTCATAATGCAGAAAAACAAGGTGTGATGGAGCGCTGCAGCTTTGAACAAGGTTTCTGTTCCTGGGCGAATAGTGATCTGAACCCACCTGGAGCTGATTGGAGGCTTCTTCGAGGACAGGAGGCCTTGTCCAATCACGGACCTCGTAGAGATCACACCAGGAACTCTGATGCAGGTCGGAGAATGCTCACCAGTCAGAGGAGAAAAAGCATGTTGCATCTACTTTGAGAGAATACAGAATTGTCTTTAATCCATGTAGGTCACTATGTTACACCTGGACTTCACCTGACTGTGAGGAAACAAACATCTGAGATTATCTCCAAAACATTACTGCCAAGCATAAACTGCACAGTGAGTTTACTCTGACGTAATCCTACAAAATGCAGATGTCAACTGAGTAATCCATTCATGGAGGGAAAAGCTAACCTGATCATATTTGGGAAAGTAATTACCACCCTTGTTAAGTCAGGAACTAAGTGTAATGAATACGCTGATGAGGGTCCTCAGTCATCCAGGTCATGGTAATCCAAAGGGGTTCAAATGAAGGCAACTGAACTTCTTTGGTTTCTTAAAGACATTTTGCTTCTCATCTGAGGAGCTTTGTCAGTCCTGACCAGAATATGGGAGAGTCACGCTTATAAACTGTAGCTGTCTATTGTTGGTTAATGAGCTGAAACTACCTATAAATACCCCCCTCCCTACCTACTGAGGAGTCAGTGGAGTCGTTAGGCTCTATTGTGTTAGAATGGTTGTTTTGTTCAGATGCAGGAGGGTGTGACCTGATGTTATGACCCGGCTCATGGGATCGTAACATTAGGAGGAGGTTTAGAGACATTGTGGGAGATAAGAGTATTTTTCACTTTAAAATCAGCCTCCAAAGGGCCTCACCAACTGCCACACAGGCAGGAGCTATCAAGGAGATCTCTCTTATCAGTCTTAACTTCTTTGGAGTTGCATCAAACAGCCTTTCAGCCACTCACGATCATGATCATGACAGACTACAGAAAACCAGGCCACTGGTGACAGAGGGGCGTGGGCATGGGCATCAGAAGCAGCCAATCAGCTGGTCGCACTGGCACAGCAAAATGTGTTTGTCAGATGGGTGCATGGTTTCTCTCATTGCAAGAGATGTAACACCTCCCCCCTCAAAAGAGTTCTTCTAAGGAACTCACAAGGACTGCTGAAACTCTTCAGCTCATGTCCTCTAATGAAACCTGTGAAACAGAAGAAGTGAGGGAGAAACAACCCACACACACAACAGAAAAATGTTAAGAAAAAGTGATGGACCGACCAAAATGAACAAAAGAAGAGAGACCACCTAGACCAGTGGTCCTCAATCGGCGGCCCCCTCTTTGTGGCTCCCGAACCCCGCACGAGCATGCAGCGACAGTGGAGAGGAAAACTCCCTTTTAACCAGAAGAAACCCTGACAATGCAGCTTTAAAACTAATTCCACACAATAGAACCTAATGACTTCAACGACTTATCGGGGGTAAGGAGGAGGGTTTTATATATAGGTTATTTCAGCTCATTAAGCAACAACAGACATCTACAATTGAGCTTACATCTCCCAAATTCTGGTCAGAATTGACAAAACTCCTTGAATGAGAAGCGAAATGTCTTCAAGAAACCAAAAAAGTCCAGTTGCCTTCATTCAAACCCGCTTGGATTAAATGTAATGAACCACACTATTTGGAAAGCTACTCACGCCTACTTAGTGCCAGACCTGTAGAACAAAGACATATTTTCTGTAGAACCTGACTGATGATATGACATAGGCTAAAAGACCTCAAAAAGCAACACATCATTGTCTCTTTTTGGTGCTCTATTTCTATTTATTGAACATGTAAATCAACAAACAAATTAAAGTATATATATATATATATATATATATATATATATATATATATATATATATATATGTTCAATAGGAAGGGAAAGAAGCTCTTGTAGCTTACGTAACCCCCCCACACATTCAAATTTCAAAGACAAAAACACAAAAATTCCTTTCCTTACACTGTGTTTCATAGCCAGTTTCTCATAACATTTTTTTTATCCTCAGTCGCACAAACATAATTTATACTTTTTATATATCACCCCCCCCCCCTTTCAATATTCACACCTTCCAGTTAACCAACAATAGGCGATTACAATCAAATGCAACACCCTTACAACTTTTCTTCCTCCTCCATATAATTCATTAGTATAATTTTTTAATGCTTATCTTTAAACTTATGTAATGAGGGACTTTGCTTTAGATCTTTATTAATGCTATTTATAATGTATATAATTTCAGATACAAACTTAACTTTAGGCATACATATTTTAGAACAACATTAAAGTCATTTTGTCTTTCTGTTACGGGTGTAAAAGTTTGGAATATTTATTTCAAAGAAATAAAGAACCCAAAACAGGATTTTAAGTTCTGCAGGACTCTGTTCAGTTTAGAAACAGAGGTCATGATTAAACAACAAGAAAAAGACTGGGCAAAAGTGACATTGAGAAAGAGTTCCAGAGCTCAAACCTCTGAAGAAGGATCAATTTCTTTATATAGCGCCTTTACGCTGGTCGTAAGGCTGTTACCAAATGGGTGAAAATCCACCCAAAGACCATCTCACATTTAAAAAAATGCCTTTTAAAAAAATTATTTCATCCTTGCAGGTGAGATTCTTTTACTTCAGCATGGATGACGCTGCGGCCACACTGACAGCCCAATCAATGACCCAGATGTCTGGAATCAACAACAAAGTGCTGTGGGTCAGGAGGACTTCCCAGAGCTTCAGCTGGCAGAGGGCAAAGGTCACTTTCTCCACCTCAGCCAGCAGCAAGGTCTGTGAGAGCGTATGAAGCAAGACTTTTCTATAAAGCTTCAGATATGATACAAACTTATGTCCCAAGATGAATCTTAGTCCGTTTCTTCCACAGATTGTTTTCAGGTACGAGCTTGGAGAAGCTCCCAGAGGGCTGGTTGCTTTGGATGACGTCTCTTTCTCTAGGGAATGCGTTTTTGATCCAGAAAACAGCGAGCTGCCCGACACTACCCCCACCTCAGCCCCACCCACCCCCTCTAGCACACCCACCGCTACTATCAACCCCTGTCAGGTGAATAACCGTATGAAAGTCTCATGGTTGCAGAAACAGTTGAAGCGTTCTACAAAGCAACTCTTTGAATAAATATTGTAATAATCTTGCTGCGCTGTTTCAGGAAAGTGAGTTCTTTTGCCACCACTCCGCTGGGAACGTGTGTGTTCCTGCAAAGTCACGGTGCGATTATCATCCAGACTGTCCACGGGAGGAAGACGAGGCCGGCTGTGGTGAGAGCTGCAGAGTATTTTCATTCAGGCTGTGTGTGAAATCACTTCCTGTGTTATGCAAAAACCAGTTGACCATAATAACACGACTGGAGGAAAACCTATTTTCTCCCAAGTTTTTGATCTGGAAAAAGCTGGAATGACTGGATGAAAGAAAAATGCAGACATGCAACAGTCCTGCTGAGCAGTAGCTGATAAGCAACGGAGCAATCACCGGACAACACAGTTATTTATAAATCCCACAGAAAGATTTATATTTACTGAATAATAATTCTAGAGTTCCTTTAAAATTTGATTTTGAAGAAGAAAATAAAAGGAAAATGTAATTTTTAAAAGCCTTTAATGTAATTTATAACTCGGGACGTGTTTAAAAGTTGCATCCGTATTTGTGAAGGTATGTCAGGTTCTTGCAAATCTTTGGAGCTTTGTTTTTTCTGAAAAATTAGACTTGATTCAACTTTTTGTTTAATAGTGTGGCAAGACAGAGATCTCATGAGAGAAATTTAACCAAGAACAAAATTTTCATTCACAAAAAAGACATTTTAAAACATTTAACGAACAATAATGCAAACGGTTTGCTTTTCTACATTCTTTCACCCACATTAGTGATTTATGAATAAATATACGTCCGCCCACTGTCTGCAGAAGAATTACTCAATTCTACACTCATTGTTTCAGGTCCGTGCACATTTGAGAGTGATCAGTGTCAGTGGACGGACGCCAGTGATGGACAGAGCAGATGGTACAGACAGAAAGCCAGCAACACCACGGACCCTCCCACAGATCACACCACAGAAACTGGTGACTTTAATTGTTACTGTGGCAGTTATAACCACTCTTCTTGTCTAAGTAGAAAACAGCTTTGTTTATTCACTTCTCTTTTATTTCCAGGTTTCTACATGAGAGTAAATCTCAGTTTGGGGTCCGCACAAAAGGAGGCCAAACTCCTCAGCCCCCCGCTTCCCCCTTCGTCCCCCTACTGCCAGATTCTGTAAGACATAAAAGCATTCATTTTCTTTCCAAGTGCCCGTTAAACATATATTCTGGCTGAAAGAAGAATTTTGTATGAATTGCTCAACTCTCTCCTCCCCCGTCGCTCTACCATGCAACTCTCCTCCTAATCTGACATTCTCTGCTTCCTCCTTCCTCCTTCCCAACACCCAGGTTTCACTTCCACATAGATGCACAGAGTACTGGGTCACTCAGAGTGCTTATGCAGCAAGCTGAGGGCGGTGAAGCAATCCTGTGGTCATGCAGTCACAACACTGTCTCCCACTGGGCCTCGGAGCATCTGCCTGTAGGCCGGCACCAGCAGCCTTACAAGGTGCTTACTCAACCAGAACGCTGACATTTAAAAATTAGAAGTATAGAAAAGTATTTTTTAAAGAAAATAAACACTAAAAGTAGTTTCATCTACTGATGGTGGTATTGGCTTGTTTATTTAATGCTGTATTTCCCAAGGTTCAATATGTTCTGCAAAATAAGCGTTAGAAATCTAAAAGTGCTTCTTTTCTTTTCTTTTTTTTTTTTTTGTTAAATGTGACTGCATTTGTGTTGAGCTGGCATGTAAAGGAGAGGTTTTTTTCTCTTTAAGGTAAGTAGAAAATGCTGCCGTTGCGTGCAACTGCAGTGCCAGAACTTCCTTTTTTTTGTGTTGTTGTTCTATAAAATTTTCCCTAAACAATCTTGCTTCCAAACATGCAGGACAATCTGATGTCCATTTAATGTAACAATGTGTTTCTATCTCTTTTGTGTTTACAGCTTTGGTTCAGCAGCATTATTAAAGCAACACAGGAAGTTAATGTAGGTCGAGACCACGTAGTTGCTGTGGATGACGTCTCCTTTCTTAACTGTGAACAATCCTATCAGCCGCCGGGTAAATTTAATTTAAATATCTGCTAACTGAGCAGTAGAAAGTTGTATGAGGAACACTTGTCACACCTCGCCCATATATGGGCCTTGTTGTTTTGTCTCTACTCTCTGATCTCCCCTTAGATCTGTCATTCTTCAGCTGCACATTTGAAGATGGCCTCTGTGCTTGGGTCCAGGGAGCAGAAGAAGAGCTGGACTGGCTCAGTGGATCAGGCCCAACAGAAACATCCAACACTGGGCCTGCAGGAGATCACACTACAGGCAAAGGTAGCTATTTAATGTGCCAAATTCACTTTACACACATAAAGTCACACAAAACAATAAAGAGAGCAGAAGAATGCTGAAATAAATAAAGGAATAATGTGTTTTCTTTGTATTCAGAGGTCAAAGGCCAGAAATGCATTGTATTAATTTCACAGGGAAGTATCTTTACATTGAGAGCTCCCATCCAGCCATGAAGGAGAACATAGCCCATTTGAAGTCACCACTGCTGCCACCTGCTGGTGATGAGGGATACTGCTTCACATTCTGGTACCACATGTTTGGAGCAACTGTGGGTTCCTTAAGGATGCTTCTAAAATCAGCTGAAACGTTTGAGAAAACATTGGTAAAACATGTTTCAATTCTCAGATTTTTGACTATTTTATGTCCAGTCAAAATTTGAAAAGTTGGCCTCTGTTCAGTAACACTGAAGTAAATAAACTTCCCTCTGCTGCTGCTAAAATAATTTGTAAAAAAAAATGCATCACAGCATATTAGGAAATATTTTAGGCTGTTTCCTCTTAATTTTTCTTCAGTTATATACATTTTTCAAAGTTGTGAAATGCTGATTGCACAAAAGCATCGGTGCACAGATGAATGGGTGCAAGCTGCACATAGCTATGTTGCACAAACCTCCTCACATCCTCATTATGAAGAGTGAATCAGCCTCCGGTTTTTTCTGTAGGTGTGGCAAAAATCTGGGGATCAGGGGGATGAGTGGCTGCTGGCTCAGAGCCATGTGACCCTGAAGAATGTCCATCAAGTGGTTCTGGAGGCGACAGTGGGAGGAGAGACAGGGGACATAGCCATAGATGATGTAGCCTTCGTGCATGGACCGTGTCATGCCTCTGGTAACATCACCACGAGATAACAATTCAACAGTAAACAGATAAATATATACAAATCAACAACATAAATAACTTTTGTATAATGAACTTGTGCTGCAGACCTGTGTGACTTTGAGGATGGCAGCTGTAACTGGCAGCAGGTACCAAGTGATGATTTTGACTGGGTCAGACAGTCGGGCTACAGCACAGGACCAAAGACTGACCACACCACCAGCACAGCCGCGGGTCATTATTACTACCTGCCATCCTCCACCAGTGATCAAAATGGACAAACAGCTTCCATGTTTTCACCTCTATATCCTGCAAGTAAGAGCCATCATCACTTTGACTTGATCCAGGATTTAAATTACTACAGTTCCTGTTTTTCTTTTGTTTGTTTTAGGTAAAGGATCTTGTGTGATGCTGTGGTACTACATGAATGGGGAGGAAGTGGGCACGCTGAATGTTTACCAACAGAGTGAAGATGGAAAAAATGTTCTGATTTTCTCCCAGTTAGGAGATCAAGGCCGACTATGGAGGTTTGCTCAGGCGTCCCTCCTGCCTCGGGTTCAGCCGTACAAAGTGAGGTTCACATGAAATCTTGAAGCTCAAGTGCATTCTCAGGTCTTCTAAACACCTATTGTGTGTTTCAGATTGTGGTGGAGGGTGTGAAAGCTGGTCCAGCATTTGAGGGAGGCATGGCCTTTGATGATGTGCAGCTTACAGACGCTCAGTGTCCTCCACATGGTTTCTGTGACTTTGAGAGCTCTCTCTGCAGCTGGAGCAACCTGGGAGGAGTAGACCAGGGGGACTGGCTACATGGAACAGGAGACTCCTCGAACCCCAACACCGGCCCCACTTTTGACCACACCACCAACTCCACACATGGTAATAATACAACTAAAATCACGCGACCCACATGTGGTTGATTTAAAGTTAAAGTCCCATTAGTCATCACACACTGGTGAAATCACATCAAGGCAAGGCAGCTTTATTTATAGAGCACATGAAAACAACATAAAAACTCTAATTAGAATACACACAAATGGAATTGCAGTTTGGAGCTAAAGGAGAAGACAAAGTTACAATGCAGATCACAGTGAAGATGACGCGTGATAGGAAACAATTCGTTTAAAGGCTGATGAGTACATTAGTCTTTTTAGTTTTGTTTTAAACAACACTAGGGTTGGGGCAGATCTGAGGTCATGAGGAAGCGGATTCCGTATGTGAGCAGCATAGTAACTAAATGCATCTCCACCATGTTTTGTTCTGACCCGGGGTTCTATCAGCTGATTGTTTCCAAGGGATCTCAGAGCCCTATTGGGTGTATGTACATACAGGAATGAGATCGGATATGTATTCTGGTCCCATGCCATTGAGTGATTTATAAACAAGTAGGAGCACTTTGAAATCTATTCTGCTGTTTACTGGTAGTGTAGGGATCTAGAGCAAGAGTGATGTGCTCTGTTCTCTTAGTTCTATGCATCTGACCCACCCCTGTGGGGAGCGGTGAGCAGCAGCTGTGGCTGCACTCAGGAACAATTTGGCGGTTTAATCCCCCCGTAAAGCAGAGTGTCAATACCCCCCCCTCCCCCCCCAAATCCTGACCTGCTCCCAACAAGGAAGTGCCAAAAATCGCAGTTCCATCCTCATCCACTAGGGTCTGGCACCAAAACAGACCAAGTTCCCATGTTAAAAGTGTGAATTTCACAGCAGAAATAAATATGTTTACAGCCTGTTTCAAAAACCATTTTAGGTTTAAAAGATCTAGTTTACATTCATGACAACTTTGAGGGAGGATGAATTTTCTTTTTGTTGCTCCTCTATTTAGTTGTAATTAAATGATTGAAATTCTGAATAATTATTTTTTTTTTACGGTGTCCTGTCTGGCTGTGAAGCAAGCAGAATTGATGTCTGAATGCTGGTGACAAGCCTTACAGATTTATTCTCAGGTGGAGCATCAAAGCGTTTGCTTTTAATGTCACGCCTGATACTTAAAACTTTATTGTTATTGTTGTTGAATGCTTTGTAATTCCGACCAGACACGGAGACAGAGGTGAAAGAGAAAGGAAAAGAAAAGGTGGTGGTGGTGGTGGGGGGGGGGGGGTGTCCACAAAAATAAACAATAATGAATAAGAGTCTGCTTCTAGACCTGCTGAAAAAAAGACAAAAAAAACAAAGGGACACAAAAAAAGGGACACAACAACAATACAACAAGATCAAACTATCACTGCGTCAACTTGATGAAAAGAAAAAAATATATATATATATAATCAACATTGCTTAACTGAAGAATCACGATAATAAATCACAGTGCATTAAGTGCCCATCATAGTCTTAATACCTGTGTTTAACGTGCCCAAGCCCATACTTTTGAGAGCACCATGTGTGCACCTGTGTGTGTACACACGCTTGTTTATTTAAGGTTTTTCTATAGGAGCGCCCAACAGAGAGTGTGAGGGACCACAGATCCACCCCCCAAAGATGCGCAGGAGACGGGGGGGAGCTCCAAGTCCCAGAGATCCAGGCGCTGCCCCAGAACGCAGGAACCCCAAGGAGACTGCAACCAGGAAGGCCCCCGCCCCCCTCGAGAGGCACAGAGGATCGCCCCGGGGGGCCACAACCAGCAGCCGGCAGAGTCCCTGGAGATATCAGCGGCAAGCCCACAGGCCCGCCCGCAGCCTCCCACCCCCAAGCCGGCCGAGCCCGGGACCCAGCGACCCGGGACCCAGGGGCGACCACCCCGCCGGGGGCCCAGCAGAGCCCAGGGACCCAGACCCCACCAGGCAGCCACTGGGATCTAACAGATCACACAAATGTGGAATGACCTTCCTAACACTACCAGAACTGTGGCTTCCTTTTCTATTTTCAAGAAACTCCTGAAGACCCTGCTCTTCAGAGAGCATCTTCTTAACTAGCACCTTGCCTGCACCCGTCCCCCCTCTCTACTGTCCACTCCTTGTTCCCTCCTCTCCATGACTGATGTCAATTTGTTGTTGTTACTATTGTTGTTAGCCTCAAGGGCAAAATGCTGATTATCACTTGTAAGTCGCTTTGGACAAAAGCGTCTGCTAAATACATAAACATAAACATAACAGGCAGATGCCAAAAACTTAAACCCCCAGACCCGGTTGCCACGAACACTCAGGCAGACCATGGCACAAGCCCCCACACCAGGTGTGGCAGGGGGAGGGGGGACAGAGATCTATATCATCAAGAGAAGTTCCAGGAGAGGGGAGGACCCAAAGGCCCCACCTGACATATACAGTCATACACAAACACAGTCACACGCTCCCTCCCTCATGCTCACACAAACACATACGACCCAAGACTTACAAAAATGCATGCCGGACACCCACTCATGCTCCCCATACACACCCTATTCACTCTGGTCCCGGTACTGCTGCACATTGGGTACAACCATCACCGGTAACCAGAGTTTGACCCTTTCTGCTGGGGGTGCTGATGAGCAGGCTCCCCCGCCCGTTAATTCTGAATAATTAACGGGCATCAGAGCCAGAGCTAGCTCTGGGAGATATCTCTGGGAAAAGGCCTCAGCCTGGGCGTCGGCTTTGCACTAACAGATCATCCAAGCAGGTTCTGCTTATTTTTATTAGTAAGTAAAATTGTATTTCAGTACTTTATTTTGCTGGTTGAATGAGGTAAATGCTGTGAATTTGAGGCCCTGTCCAAACGTAGCCGGGGATCTGCCAAAACGTAGATATTTTTCTACGTTTTGGCCTGTCATCCACATGAAAACAGAGTTTTTTCACACGAAAACGGATCATTTTAAAAACTCCAGACAAAGTGAAGATCTGCGTTTTCTCCGTTTTGGGTGTCTGCGTGTGGACAGACAAAACCGGAGTTTTAAGGTCCGCAACGTCACTTTCCGCGACAAAAAAATGCTGACATCACGTGTGCGACCTGTGTTTTCACTAGCCGGCATCATGGATGCCCTCAGAGCTGCGCTCGCTTTATCAGTTGTCCAAGCGCTTTTTGCTTGTTTGTTTTTGCAAGCGGAGTTACTGCTCCTTGTGGAAGACCACAGACGAAGGACGAGGTTAAGAACGGGGCCAGTACTGCCACCTACAGGTCTGGCATGTCCTTAACAACGTATTTATCCGGGTATGTGTGGACAGAGTTTTTTTGAAAACCAAGTGGTGTGGATGCAAGTTTTTTGAGGGGCGGATATTCGTTTTTAAAAAAAACCCCGGCTACGTGTGGATTAGGCCTAACATAACACTGCTTGGTCAAAGATGGGTTGAAATATAACATGATGGTGGGGCTGGCTGGCTGACTGGATACCGATACTTTAAGCTGACCGAGGCTAGCTAGCAGAGGCTTCGGGGCTTTGTTGGTCCACTGCGGTCAAAGATTTGTGAGGTCACCGCTGCAGAGATTGTTGCCGAATTTTGGTAACATGCCTCACCCTTTAACAGTGCAGTTCTGCGATCAGAGATCCTGGAATCTGCTGCTTCATCTTTTGGAGGCAGCCCAGCGAGGCGGGCGCCCACCGCCCAGCTTCTCCTCTCTGCCGGGAAGAGAGCTGCTTCACAGAGGCAGCACAATCCCATTTCCGGAAGGGGCTGCGCGTCCACCTGGCTTTCATGCCAGGCTGTAGATGTGCTGTTGCCTGTGGAGCTCTCTGTGGGAGATTACAGACACACTGCTGCTCTTTGAGTTGACTTTGGAGTCACTTTACCGTGTTTCTCTCACTCAGTGTTGCCAGAATCCAAAATCCCACAATATCGTACAGAGAGGCCTAATTATTGTGTTTCCAGTACAAATGATCGTACATTATAAATTTGATGATAACGTTCTATAAACGACTTCTCACTCCAATATAATATAGCAAAGAAGGTGTTTTATATTGCCCTGTTTAAATAAACATCTTTAAAACCAGTAATATAATGCCTATAAACGTGCAGAGTGTGTCAGCACCACTCCGACCTCCACGCATTGACACAACATGCACATTTGCGCAGTCCTATTTATTTCATTTCTACATAGGTTAAAAGCATGCGACAAAACATCACAGCAGTGGAAAAACTAACCCAATAAATGACAAAGCAGCCTACTCACCTAGTTGCTGATCTCGATCTCCTCATCTGATTCACTGTCTGTCGCAGCATCGCCAGCAGTAGATGTGGAGGCTTTGCTTCGGTACAAGTTTGATGAAGTCATGGAATGCAACATAGTTTTTGTGGGTGCAAACTCTGGGCATCCTCCTCCGTTGCTAACACACTCAGAAGCTTGTATTAGTCCATTGAGGGTTGCCGTAATGAGCCTGTTGCGGGGTTTGGTCTTTATTAGGTTCACTTTTGAGAAGACTCGCTAGCATGAAGCACTGGAATGGGGAAAAATCAGTACATCCAAGGCAAAAGTAGCAAGATCTGCAAACAACCTTTTCCCACTCATGTCTTGCATGGTGGATAAGTTGTACCAGAATGCATCCACGTCCATGCTTTTGTAACTGTCACTGAGGTCCGTGATGGCCAGCTGTCACCACCGTCATCAATGAGCTGGATGTGGTCTGTGTCCTCGATGTCCAGTAAGTGAGGCACAGTGCACAGCATGGGAAACAGAAAAGGGTGAATGGTGCGCGCTTGTGGGTCTATTGCCACAGCAGGAGAAAAACAGTCCAGAGCACACAACAAAGGGTCGTCAAAGTCAAAGCGGTTTTTAATTTCTGAACAACCAACTTGCAGAAATCTCTGGCAACGCACGAAAAAGTCTGTAACAATTGCAGGGTTAATGCGTGTGTTTTGGAGCTGCTGCATGACCCCCACGCCCAAGTACAGCATGTTAACTGGCAGATATTTGGAGATGTCTGTTGGATCAGTCGGCTCAGTTTTGTGTGGAGAATGTAGTTTCTATCCATAAAAGATAAGACGAGATATTTGTAAGTCTCGCTCATGTTCTTGTGCAGAGGTGTGATGACAACCTTCTCACTCTGGAAATACTCGTTCAGGTTTGTAAATATGGGCAAAACCCATTCCAAAAAGCGAAAGTATAGTTTAAGTGAGTCATCATGGAGAGCCCTGTAGACATTTTCTGCAGCATTTAAACGTTCCGCCACCCACTGATCAGTTTAAAAGAGCCGAAGCGCACTCCACTGCGCATTGATGCACTTTACAACTTGATACAGAGAAAGCCAACGGGTCTGTGCTGGCTTCAGGATTTTGTGAGGCTCAATACTACAAAAGTCCAGGAACTCCTTCAGTTGTGCCTGGCGTTTTGCGCTCTTTTTGAAATAGGAATATATATCTCTTGCTAAGTCTTCACATTGTCATGGTAGCTGCTTACATGACTCACTTGCGCACAAATGCAAGGAATGACAAATGCATCGTTGCGCTGTGATCACAGGAAGATCATGCTTGAGGCGGCTGGAGACGGAATTGTGTTGTGCCCAGAGCCGGATTAAATAATGGACTACACTAGGCAGGCTGCATTTTTTGTAGAATAAAATTATTGTAGAATAATCTAGAACAGGTTTTAATAGTGTGGCTGTTGTAGTTTTTGAGCTAGAGCAGATTAAAGATGGTCAGAGTTGAGAAAAATTGGGTGTAATGGCCCTTTAGCCGTTTCCTGAATACATCAGCCTCGTTGCAGCAGGCTGCTGTAAGACTATATTGGGCTCACTTCTGGCTGGCAGCTGTTCTTCCAGTTCGTCCTTCTGTGACTGCGTTGAAGTTGACGGCGTTGGTGCTACAGAGTCTTCCGCCGCATTTCCCACCGCATCTTCCACCGCGTCTTCGGGTCGTGTGTCCTCCGGGTCTTGCTCGGGCCCAGCCTCTGGCTCTGCTGACTCGAGCAGGTTCACAGCTGTCGGACGGCTGCTCAAGCAGCCCGACAGAAGCTTCTATAAGCCCCCCCCCCCCCCCCCCCCCCCCCCCCGCTGTCTCTTCTTTTGTTCCTCTTCATTTTTTTTGTCTTTCTACGTTTTGCCGCGCCCGAAAGCATCGTGAAAGTTAGCCTACTCAAAAACACCTGCTAGCTTTGTCGTGTCCCGCTCTGACTCTGACCGCTTCTCTGACGTCCTTAATTGGGTGGCGCCCAAGTTGTAGGTTACAGTCATGGGCTGGCGTTAATGTGATGTAGCTAATGTAACAGTCTATGGTTAAGATACTGTAAATATCATCACTTATTTTAGTTAATTAATAAATATTGAAATAAACTGTAGATATGAGTCTTATCTACAAATTCTATCATAGGACATTTGTATATTTTATTTTTTATTTATTTATTTTTTATTTTGTCCCTCTGTCTGGGCCCCATCCAGCCAATCAGGCCCTAGGCAAGTGCCTTTGCGTTAATCCGGCTCTGGTTGTGCCATCATGGTGTTACACCCGTCCGATGCAAAGCCCACAATGCTCTCTAGAGGAACATTTGCAGATGTAAATGACTCCAAAATTTTTGTGTAAAGAACCTCAGCAGTTGCGCCGTTGTAACTTGTCTGCGGCTGATCATCTGAAAAGATCTGAGCTAATTTCCAAAGCGTGTCTGCACTGATTTGGAGCTGTCATCAAAGAAACAGACCGCATTGCAAAGAGTTTTAACTGTACCAATGTCTGTAGACTCATACAAGGATGCTCAACTTTTTACGTTGTAATATTTCAGAAAGTTCTTCAAAGTAGCATTGTCCCATAACATTCTTTGCAATGTTTGTGGCTTTTGTGCCACACCCCTGAAGCACTTCCAGCATTTTTTCTATTTGCATTTTACCCTTTCTTTGTGTTTAGCTCTCTTTGCGTGATTCTTGAGAACGGTGATTTCTGATACCATCTGGATGTTGCAGCAATGACAGAAGGCCTTGGTTTCATTCCCCGTAACAGGGTCCAACTCCCACGCAGGATGATAAACTTGTGTCCGGTGTTGCTTTGCTTTACCTTCATCCGTCCCTTCTCTGTTTTTTCTTTTAAGATTAGTAGCCATTGTCTCGTCGCTCTGTCCTCCTACCTTAAACATAGCTCGGCGGCGCTCGCGGGCAAACAGCAAAAGCTGGCGGGCCACTGCCACATGTTTATGTTTATTCATTGAGCAGACATTTTTAACCAAAGCGACTTACAATTTGTAACCTATAGGGCATGTTGTGATCTGTGGAGGAAACCGGAGTACCCGGAGGAAACCCACGCATGCATGGGGAGAACACGCAACTCCACGCAGAAAGGCTGCAACCGAGTTTCGAACCTGCAACCTTCGTGCTGCGAGGCAACAGTGCTAACCACTGCGCCACCATACAGCCCATAGCCACATATAACCTTACAGTTTCTCGCGAGAGTAGGCCTATCGATGTGATTGGGCTATTTATTGTACAGATCCAGAGTCAGTTTTTGTAATAGACACAATAGCATAAACCTGTAAGCACTGAGGTGAAATCTGACTTCAGAACATTTTAAAATCATGTAATTGACATGGGAAAGCCACAGCAAAAGACGGTGTTACTAGATGCAATGTGAAATTATTGTACATTTGAGGATTTTTGAAAGTATTGATCGTACATCGTACAGAGCCCAAAATTATGGTACAAATACGATAATTATCGTATATCTGGCAACACTGCTCTTACTTAGCCAAATTAGCTAGTACATTAGCTCATTTGTTCCAACGCTGTTCCAGCCATAACAGCCCCACTCTCAGCTCCACCTCTTTTCCCATTTTTGGATTGTCTGGGCGTGACGAGATGTGTGACAATGTCAAATTGGTGGTGGTGGGAACCTCCCATTTTTTTTATCAAAACCATATAAATCAAGCCAATGGGCATTATCTGTTCATGTATATATAGGCAATATCAATGTTTGAACCCCGTTCTCCCAGACCCAGGGAGAACATTCTATCACTAGGCCACTGAGAAGGTTTGGGTCAATACTTGGATCTGAAATGTTCGGGACAAAGGTTTTCCTGTTGGACAAACATGCTTCTTTTAAAGTACAATTTCCTTGTGCTGATTTCTACTTTTGTTTCCTTCAGGTCACTATGTTTATGTGGACAGCTCAGTGGGCGAGTGGGGAGACATGTCCTTTCTGATCAGTGATGTGTTTCAGCCATCCTCAAGAGGGCACTGTCTCACATTCTGGTACCACATGTACGGTGGCCACATCGGGACACTCAGAGTGTACATAAATGACAGGTCTGATCGTCATTAGAGCTTCATATGGATTCAAATGATTGATTTATTAATCTGAGTTGGTCTTTTTGTTTTTTAAAGGAAAATCCATGCTGGAGGCAATGAGGAAGGACTTCTGAAATGGATTGAAACAGGAAACAAAGGAGACCAGTGGCTGCAGGCCCGTGTACCTATTAAACACAAAGATGCATTCTGGGTAATCATGAGATTTCCATGGGTTTTATCATACTAGATATGCAGTTCTTTGGGATACATGTTCTGGTTTTGAACATTTGTTTTCTCCATAGTTTGTGTTTGCGTATCAGAGGGGGATGAGTACAGGTGGAGACGTCGCTCTGGATGACATCACAATCACCTCTGATGCTTGCTACCCTCCTTCTCCCATCCTTCCATCTGATAACAGTAATCACCCTCATGATTTATCTGGTCAAAAATATGGTCATAGAATTTGTCATTTCAAACTTGGTCTCAGGTAATATCAGCACGGTTTCCTGTGTCTGCAGGCAGCTTGTCTGTGGCTCTTGCGGTTAGTCTGACTCTGCTGGCTGGAGTCATCATCTCCATCCTTCTCTTTATGCTGAACCGGAAGTGTAAAACAATGTAAATGATGATTTATTACATAAATAATACATAGTTTGAAGTTATGTTATTTGCTTATGTTTGATGCTTTTATGGTGTAGAAACCAGCCGTCATGGATGGACAATGAGGGGATGGACCTACCTTCTGGGCTAGACACGTTTAACTGCACAACAAATGTAAGAAGGCAAAATTCACCAAATATTTGCTAGACTTACAGATGTTGTACGAATTAAGCTGCTTTATTTTCAGGGCACAGAGCATGATTCTGACTTCTCCTTCTACAACAAACTTTATGATCCATCCACACAACCAGAAAACACAGCCGAAGCCTCATCGGATGCTTAGACTTGTTTTAATATTAGGGTTTATTAATTTTATTTACTGTAAAAATATTAAGATGTTTCTCTTGAGACTCAACAAGAACATTTTGACAGCTCTGCTAGTTTTTTTTTTACTGAATAAATGTCAGTTTTATAAAGTGGAATGTTGTCTGAATATAATTTTTATGTTGTTTATTTGTGTATTTATTTTACTGAGTAAATAATTAGAACTTTTTTTTTTAAATGACATCTTAGTGGCATGTTTCTGACTTGGATGATATGGATAAGACTCAGACTTCAAAGCCAGGGACGAAATTTTGATTTCAGAAGTGGGGGGGACACAGCAGGCTTGTGCGGATTTTGGGTGGGGGGTGTTATGTAAAGACCCCTTGACACGTCACGTGCCCATCTCAATAATTTTTCCATCCTCAATATATATATATATATATATATATATATATATATATATATATATATATATATATATATATATATATATATATATATATATATATATATATATATCAAAGTTAAAAAATGTACAACTCTATTATTATTTTTATCTATTATCATTATTGAAGTGCAGTTTTGGCTGTTGACAATGGATAGGCCATTGTATTTATTGTTTTGGGTCTTTTTTTTATTGTTTTTGGTGCAACATTTTCTAACAGGGAGTGAGATTCCTTTTTTATTTAATTTTTGTTTGTTATTTTTATTCATTTAGAAGTTCTGGTTCTGGACATTTCAATGTTAAATGAAGGTTTATTTGTTGCATTTTAAAGGGTGTACTTGCATTATTATGATATATTAACATTATATTAGTGGTTATTTTGGTCTAGATAATGTTGACAATGATTGATATTGTTTATCATCAACAATTTGTTGGACAAAATATCGTCCAGCAAAATGTGTTACTTTCCCAGGCCTAGTCAAAAGTATAAAAATTATTTATACATAAACGGTCCCTCCTGAGATCTGGCCGTTTGTTCATTTGCTGTGTTAGAGGACATGCTGAACTAATGTTTTACACATGATCATCACCCTAACATTTGAGTGTATAAAAACATATTAAATATGTTTTTTTCCCTTAAAAGTGTTTAAACAGTTGTTGCATTTCAACACACAAAAAATAAATGGAAAAAATAAGATAAATCTAATGAAAAGTGTACATCTTTGACATTAAGCTTAAAAAATCTGTTGATGATGATGATACTGTTCATTTTTCAGAGCTTTTTAATGTGAACATATACATTGCAATAGATAAGTTTACAATAAAGTTAAATGATAAAAGTTTTGAAGTTACACTTCTACTACTACTAGTAGTAGTAATAATAATTATGATGATAATAGTAATAATAAAAAAAAATAATTATAATAATACGAATAAATTGTGTCCGAGGAGTCAGTTATGTGGAGGAGATGCGTTTGTAAAAGTTAGTTTTGAGTATGTTTGTGAAGGAGGAGGTGAGTCTGAGCTTAATGCAGGGGTGTCACATGTTCCAACTTACGTTTTGACTTTGAAAGAAGTCTCTTATATCCACTTTTCGTTTTCTTGACATGCTGCCTCCTGGCTGTGCCTAACTACCAAAGACTCACAAATGAACACTTATTCAAATGTTATGTAATGGAAGCTGAGCTGAGCTCTGATATTACACAGCGTCTAGTTGACGATGTGACTCAGTACCGGTGTTCCCTAGCGGCTCCAAACTAGCAAAACAACGTGAGCACGTTCTGACTGTTTACAATTTGGAGTGACAGCAGCAACAGCCAATAATACGTTAGCAAGTATCAGCAGAGCCAATAGATTAGCTTTTGGGCGGGTCTAATAGGAAACCGGTTTCCGTTTCGGTCCTAGTGCTCAACCAAATCCATTTAATGGAGCGTAATATTGTTTTTGGACGGAAAAAAGTGCAGGGGACCAAAACTGCCTTTTGAAAAAGTGGGGGGGACATGTCCCACCCGTCCCCCCCCAAAATTACGTCCCAGTTCAAAGCTGAACCATATTACTGCAATCTGAATCATTTACCACCAAAATCTGCATTTTAGGTGGTATACCAGTGGTCTCCTGCATGAAGCTGGTGATGTAATTGTGTTTTAATAGCATACAATCAATAGCTGCCAATTCCAACAACTTTATCCTCAAAGCTACAAAAAATACCTTTATCACCTGTATCATTATCACTAAAAGAGGCAAAAGAATAAGAATTTCACACACTGAACAAGTGGGAGGTGTTGGGTAAAAAGCTGATTTTCACCTTCACTTTTTAATAGTATTGTTTTTTTCAAACAGAGTTCATTAACCTTATTCACATTTAATGTGGTAAATACAGTATTGGATGCATGGAAGATGATTTTGTCTGGGAACCATCTGGTGTTATTAACCAGCTCCTGCCACAGGGAAAAGTCAACCTTGTAAGTCTGCAGTTCTGTTATCACAACAAACTCCCTAGTGAAGTCCAGACGGAGTGTTTCTCTGAACCTGGGAAGGTTTGCTGTCTGTGTGGAGGGGTGTGGTCATCTTTAATGTGCTATGTCATATGTCATCTGTGAATAAAACCTTTTGAGGAGCTCCAGCTCTTCGAGAGACTAAACAGACCTCCCGCAACTGGAGTGTTTCTTTTTTCTCTCCGGTTTTGCAAAATCTGATTATTGATCATTTGTGTTTATTGGTAAATGGTATTAATAACAATAATATCTCTAACCCCCTTGTGTGTTTTGGACTTTTCTTTGAGGTACGCCTGGATTGAATAAATAAAAATACCTAACAGGAGATGAAGAGGTAGAAGCCATGATACTAAGCTACTAGTTATCCAACGTTAGCAGATAAAAACTAAAATGTAGAAAATAGGAGAAGGCCTATTTGAGGTACTTATAGGAAAAAAACCTACAGAGAACCGACAGAGCAAACCATTCAGTCTTTGAGCAAAACAAACAGGAAGTGACATGATACTCGAGGCGGGTCTGTCAGCCCATATGTGGTAACTACCTCGTGCAGTTTGTTTTTATGGATTGTTTACAATTAATTTACATGTTGAGTATTTTTGCATAGCCTCATTCTAGAATGAACTTGCATTTTGCATGTCTTTGCAAACCATTTGAATAGTAATTTACAATTATTTTTTATTGTTTTATTCACTAATTGCCATCCTGGTTCTAGGGGTTAAGGCTAATAATAATCAACCCTCTGCACATGATGTCATGGACATGACAGCAGAGATGCCGCTTACACCCATTGAAACTCATGTGGAGCCAGTCAAAACAAGCCAGTTTGTAGCCTGACATTGATTTTATTTAGTTGTTTTCACACGCGCTTGTTTATTTAAGGTTTCTCTATAGGAGTGTCCAACAGAGAGTGTGAGGGACCACAGATCCGCCCCCCAAAGATGCGCAGGAGACGAGGGGAGCTCCAAGTCCCAGAGATCCAGGCGCTGCCCCAGAACACAGGAACCCCAAGGAGACTGCAACCAGAAAGGCCCCCGCCCCCCTCGAGAGGTACAGAGGATCGCCCCGGGGGGTTGTTAAATAAACAAGCGTGTGTACACACACAGGTGCTCACATGGTGCTCTCAAAAGTATGGGCTTGGGCACGTTAAACACAGGTCTTAAGACTATGGTGGGCACTTAATGCACTGTGATTTATTATCGTGATTCTTCAGTCAAGCAATGTTGATTATATATGTTTTTCATCAAGTTGATGCAGTGATAGCTAGATCTTGTTGTATTGTTCTTGTGTCCCATTTTTTTTTGTCCTTTTGCTTTTTTTATCTTTTTCTGCAGGTCTAGAAGCAGACTCTTGTTCATTGTTTATTTTTGTGGACCCCCCCCCCCTCTCTCTCTCTCCCCACCTTTTCTTTTCCTTTCTCTTTCACCTCTGTCTCCGTGTCTGGTCGGAATTACAAAGCATTCAGCAACAATAACAATAAAGTTTTAAGTATCAGGCGTGACATTAAAAGCAGACGCTTGATGCTCCACCTGAGAGTAAATCTGTAAGGCTTGTCACCAGCATTCAGACATCAATTCTGCTTGCTTCACAGCCAGACAGGACATGGTAAAAATAAATAAATAAAAATTAGTTGTTTTCACAGTAAAATGTTGACAGTTTGCTGCACAGCTGGCTGCACTAATTGACAATTGGTGTAAACTCAACTTGTCCACTTTTGAATAACTTTGATGGGAGACAGAAGACAGAATTGAACTGCTAGTGTCAAACGAACTAGAAGCCTTCAAAGTATTTTCAGATCTGCAACAAACACATTTTAATCGGTATGATTGACGTTAAGCCTGGCTTTAGGTCCAGTTCACTTGTGGAGCTCATACGAGCTCCGCCTAGGTGTGCTAAATCTTCCCACAAGTGAACTAGACTAGTAAAAACCAGGCTAAACTGGCAAAAAAATGGTAACTCAGTCACCAATTTTACCCTCCGTTAAAGAACAAGCCACCCCCCACCAGAGTCTTACTCCACTCCCACTTCATGCTTGAAAAATGCAACAAATGCTGTTGCCTGGCAGCCTGAGAGGGTGGAGCCACTAACAAATACAAACACACAGTCTCACAATGACATTGTGACATCATAAAATACCAGCTACTCTACCTCTTAGCCAATAGCGGTGGCAGGTTTTAATTCAAATGTAGTGCAGAGTTTTTACCTGACAACAGCACATCACTGACAGTTTTAGGCAGAATATTTAAATTTTAACTAAGATGCACTAAAGTGCCAAATTATTGACTGTGTCTACAGCATAATTAGACACACATTTATATAGTTTTCAGCAAAAAAAGTTTATTTTGGGGTGACTCGCTCTTTAAATACTCCTGTAACGCTGGGATCACATCAACTGCGAAGCGGATCGCTCATGAAATTCACACGCTGCCCCTCTGTTCACATCAGGTGAGAATTGTTGACAAGCACTTACGGTCACGCCTACTACTTGTTGATATCAGAAACTGCGTTGATCCTGCTGCTGTTGTGTAGACAAGTTCCTTTCTTATGGTTAAGTAAATAATTAATTCAATTCAATTCAATTCAAGTTTATTTATATAGCGCCAAATCACGACATGAGTCGTCTCAAGGCACTTCACATAATAAAAATTCCAATTCAGGTCAGTTCATTAAGCCAATCAGAAATAATGTTTCCTATATAAGGAACCCAGCAAATTGCATCAAGTCACTGACTAGTGTCAGTGACTATACAGCAATCCTCATACCAAGCAAGCATAAAGCGACAGTGGAGAGGAAAACTCCCTTTTAACAGGAAGAAACCTCCAGAGAATCCTGGCTCAGTATAAGCAGCCATCCACCACGACTCACTGGGGATCGAGAAGACAGAGCACACACACACACACACACACACACACACACACACGCACACGCACACGCGCACACGCACACGCACACGCACACACACACACACACACACACAAGTATTGTGTCTATAGTTATATTGTGATGTCTTAGTAAATATTGTATTTGGTGAAAGATAAACTTTATTGTATTTATCCTAGTGGATCTATAATTAAACGGATAAACTAGTATTAGCACATCAAAAGTCAAGGAAACCAAAAAGTTATTATCAGGAGAGAGAGAATGTTTAAGTAGTTAGCAGCAGTGTGCTAGTCGATGGCCCCCTCCATGAGGCCACCACAGCTCAGCAGAACGTCATTGTCGCTTCTTCTGGGGAGAAAAGCACTTACAGAGAAAATAAAGTTAACAGCTGAAATTGCACAAAATAGTACAGTTAAAGAGCAGACTGTAGAAGAAAGCAGTAGAGTGTGAGAAGTGGTCAGTGTATCCTCCAGCAGTCTAAGCCTATAGCAGCATAACTACAGAGATAACTCTGGATAATCTATCCTATTTAGATGTAGGCATGTTGGAGGCAGGGCAAGGGAGAGCCGTCTTTACCGACTGTACACTCCACCTCCCTGTACTCCCCCACTTGTCCAGATTTAGGCTAACATCAGATTTTAAATTAGCGTTTGTGGAAGTGTACAATGCAATGATATTATTAAATGTATTTGTTTGTATTGTGGACGACAGAGGACGGGAGTTGCCAGATTCTGGGGGCATGGCGACTGGACGCCGGCTGGTCCTTGTCACGCGTAATGAGGCCGGAGAGGAGAAAAGGGTGGCAGATCTACCAAGGTGTGTGTGTGTGTGGTCGACCTGTCATTGTGGCACCCGGTTCTGGGGGGGGTGGGATCGTTCGCAGTTGATTAGGACTGCCGGAGATGAAGATAGGTGAGTAGGTGGGCAGTGTTCCAGCGCTAGATGGGGAGGCTTGACACCTTCTTCAGCTAGTGAGGGCTGGGAGTAGTTGGGTGCCAAGACCACGCCGACATCTGCCGCCGCAAACTCTGGCAGCCAGACCAGAGCCGTGGGCTTACCCGCTGTCCTCGCAAGCTGAGCCCCGGGGCGTTGGACGATGTCGGAAGCTCAGACCCCAGGGAGGGGGTTGCATCGACTGGGCCAGCTAAGTACCCGCTTGCTTGGTTTTATTTATGCTGAACAGCTGGTTTTTATTGTGAAGGAACTCGGCCGTAGTGTTTTATTGTTGGTTGTGGTTATAAAGGATATTTTTTATAAGTTGCTGCCTACTGCCTGGCAAGCCAGACTAAATAAATGTATTATTTAGTCTGGCAATGCTCCATTGACGGCTCTCAGTTGTGGGGCGGGTTCTACCGTTGTCTTTCAAGAGATCTCCGCATGCTACTGGACAATGAATGTGACATAGGCCGTGTTCGAGATGAGCTGTGCCTCGCCTGGAAAACAGACGAGAGCAGACGGAAGCAGCAGGGGGAGTGGCTGAAAGTCGGCGTTTAAGTCGGACAGATTTCCCTACATGTGTAGCTCGGGGGTGACGATGGCTGAAGATATTGCGTTATAGTCGGTTAGAGTTCATACTTGTTTACTTATTTATTTTAATTCTGCTGCCTGTTAGCAGCTGAAACACATCCTCACGTGCTTGTGGATATCATATATTGTATATGAAGACATGACTGTAATAATAAGTAAAGGTTATCAGCTGTAGGTTTAGTGTGCTCATAGGAAACGTGACAAAAGAACACAAAACACATTTCTCTTTATGGCCTATATAGTTGTCATCATCAACATAACATGATTTACAGAATACATGTGACCAACTAACATTTCATGTTCTACCACCAGATGTTTAGATCAAAATATTAACCAATCAGATCTTAGATCAGGTTAGAGCCAGGCGTTTCCCGTCATCCTCTAGGTTTTGCAGCCGGTGGAGAGGAACTGCAGCGCCTTGCTCCAAAATCTGCGGCCGCCTTGATCTCACGAGGTTATCGTTGCCTACGTATACATGACGTCAGAGCAAGTCGGCGTCAAGTCAGACACAAATCTAACCGGCATGCACTGCGCGCCAATCACCGGTGGTCTAATCTGCGCAGAACTGGCTCATCTCGAACACAGCCACACTCTTGTTCCACTCTGTTGCATCATCCCACCCACCAGGCATATAGAGTGCCCTGATTTGGCCCACAAAGCGGATAAAGCTCTGTGATTTGTTCACTAAGCAGATAGAGCACAATGCTTGGCCCACCATTATGGACCAATCACAGCTCTTTATGTGTTTGAAACCCCTCTAGAGAGCTGTGATTGGCCAGCAAGAATGCTGTTGGGGCTGCAGAGGTTCCAGTGGAACATTCCTAGACCAAACTTTGCAAAGCAAGAATTTGGTCTAGTTCACTAGCCTGCTGGTGCTGTTTTTGGGGTCTGACTGGAGGGTAAGATATTCTGCCCATGCTCCCACTGACACTTATATTACAGTATTCACATGTATTAAATCCATCTTTTGCTGTTAAAACTGCATTTAAAATGGTGGAAATGCTGTGTGTGTGTGTGTGTGTGTGTGTGTGTGTGTTTGAGTCTTTTTATTCAGTTTAGATCCATGGTTTAGATACCCAAAAATGATCACAATTGTCAATCACTGTGTTTTATTTTAAAAAAAATTCTTTATTTTGGGAAATTTACCAGCCTGCCTCTTCTGTTTGGGTTTGACTTCCTGCCAGAATTGATGAGGTTGACGAAAAAGTTATAGCACAAGCTGAAACAATCACTGCACGCCCGGCGCGAGCCTTGGCGCTTCACAGCTGATGTGACCGAGATCATAGGTTAACAAGGGCGCTGAATAGAAACGCTTGGCGTTCCACGGCACTTCGCAGCGCATCGTTGTGCTTCCGCATCTGATGTGATCCGGGCATAATTCTCTAGACGTCCACCATGATGAACCCACACCTGAACATCTGGATGAGTGTTTGGATCCCTGGCCCCTTTTCCTCAGTGATCCGTACCTGCAAAAACCACACCCCCTTGACCACGTGACCAATGGTAAAATCACTCCACGCATAACGTCATTAAACGTTACGGTTTCACACACCGTAGAGAGGAAGTGAAGGCTGCACCAAGAGAACAATGGGAGTTGAAGTTGAGACCCTCAGACCTGGAGACGGTAAATATCTATTAATTTTAGTTCATGCATGAGCCAGATGTTGTCTTAAGTCCATAACAAACATAAGTGTTGTGATTTTTTTTAAAATTTGTTCAGGACAACATTTTCCGCCTAGGGGACGCACGGTCGTGGTTCACTATGTTGGTAAGAATCCTTTTATTTTCTTTGTTTGAAAGGTTAATCTGTTCGTTTGCCTGGAATAAACCCTAGACCTCCAGCTCAACTCACTTACACTAAAAAATGTGAAGTCAGTAACGTAAGTCCCCTGAAATGGGTGAGATGGCTGCGTGCTAATGCTAGGAAGTTAGCTTAGCAACTGTGGGCGGATAGCATAGCTCTGGCTTAAAATGGATAAAGTATGTGCACACCCCCGCACTCCCTAAATAAACCTCACAATAGGTACAAAGTGTGACAGCTGAGGGCATTAAAATATAACCTGGCGCTCTGTGCTTCTGTTTTCCCAAATCTTTATGCTAAGCTAACCGTGCTAGGTTAAAATATGCTAGTGATTTTCCTATCTCGGTTTCCTTCAAGCCTCTAGCAATTTATACGGAATCTCAGCATTTTGACTCAGTCGGGCTCCTTTTAATACAGGCTTACGATTATCACCAACATAAATCTGGAGTTCTATACTTCTAGGTTGCTTTAAATACTTATTTGTATTTTTAACAGGCACGCTGACAAACGGGAAGAAGTTTGACTCCTCCAGGGACCGAGGAGAGCCCTTCCAGTTCAAACTAGGAGCCGGAGAAGTCATCCGTGGCTGGGATGAAGGTGTGGCTCAGGTATGATGTTGCATGAGTTTTACGTGGGCAGGTTTCTCTACACCAGGGGTGTCCAATCCTGGCCATGCAGGGCCCACATCCTGTATTTAATTAGATGTTTTTCTGCTTTAGCTCATCTGACTTTTAATCAGTGGGTGTTTACCAGGTTTCTGCAGAGTTTATTCACCTGTTGAATGAGCGATTCAACCATTGAATCAAGTTTTGGAGCAACAAAGTCACTGGGTCAGGGTCCCTGAAGGCCAATATTTGACACCAGCTCCACTCAATTTGAATCCGATTCAGATTAATTATTCTTTTAGAACAAAAGTTTACATTTAGTTTTCAATTGACTTATTATTTTTTTTATCCAGACACAAAGCAGTAATATCAAGTCCAAATCTGAAACACAACAAATTATGGCACAATTGCACATAACGTTTCCAATAGCGTATCTGATCTCATTTCTGTTTGTTGCTTTCACAGATGAGTCTTGGCCAAGTGGCCAGGCTGACCGTCTCGCCGGATTACGCGTACGGCAGCAGAGGATATCCCCCTGTCATCCCTCCAAACTCCACCCTCATCTTCGAGGTGGAGCTCTTGAAATTTCAGTGAGCTGCTCTGGGATTTCAGAATGAGTTACTCCATGTTTATTTTTTTCCCCACTTTTTCCCCCCCACTTCATTCTATCCACATCTGTCAGATTTGTTTTGAAACAAAGGTGCTGTTGGGGATGACTCACTTGTAAAAAGGTTTTAACGAACCTGAAAATACACACTTGAGACGATTCTAATAGTGGCTGTAATGTTGGTGCAAAGCTGTCACTCAGGTCCATGAGCTTGAAATGAATCCTGCACTAATTTCACAGATAAGATCCACATCAATTCATTACATGTTGAGTAAAACAGAACAAAGGGTCAGGGCCGAACATGAGTTGGGGTTTCACTTTTCACACCTGAAATATTTTATGATTGTGATATTTAATTGAAATCTCAAAGTGCGTTGGTGATAGGTTCACTGCAGGGCACCAGTAGTATGGTAGGTGTGTTGTGTTAATGCTGCCTGAACATTTATATTCATCAGTTCAGATTTGTAACATACGTGCAGTGTTGGTTAAATCTCACTTCCTGTAACATATCTTGCTAGGATAGAGAATAGTGAATCAGGTAAAAGTGCTGGCTGTCAGGTTATTAGTTGCACAATTTCAGCTATTGTAATGAATAAATTGGTTTTCTTTGCAGCGTCTTCTTGATGAGGTGTTTTTCCTGTCAGTGCAGCTCTTTCCTTCACTTGCCTGTTAAATGTTGATGCACTAAAGGCACATGAAGTAAGAGCTGCACATACTGCAGTTATCCTTGTAAGATATTAATCATTAGTGGGTTGTTTATTTTACAGTGGTTTAATATAAGTTGATAGTGTCAAAGTGGTTGTTTTTAAAGCATGTTGTCAAAACATTTTTGTTTACATGTTTTCCTGCTGTGAATTTTTCCTCTTAACACCATAAAACAATGAAAGGAGTAAACGCTTCATCAGTAGTGGCTTGTGATGTTTACCGTATTTGATCTTAAAACCAGATTTTGACGATTCTTAAACGGGCTGTTCAATGTTTAAGTCGGCTGTTAGACCTAAAGTGTCTTTGTTTGGCATCACAAGTGTTTGTTTTTTTGGGCAGGATAATTCTCCTTTTTCTCCATCTTTTTTATTTGTTAAGCTCATCCACGGGCTCTTCTGAGCAACAATAAAATAACCTTGTGTCTGATTTTATTTTTTTTTATCATTGTTCCACAGGGCCCTTCAGAAGTCAGGTAGGGAGATTATTTTGTAAAAAAAAAATCTTTTTTTCCTTCTGCCCTTAGTTTATTTACAAATTTACAATCCCATTGATGTTTTTAGGCAAATAAAGTGAACCTTTCACTTCTCTACAAAATGGTTAGGAAATTCAAAAGCAGTAAATCAACATTACAACATGAATACTAAAACTAATTTTGTAATACCACTACTTGAGCAAATGGACACATAACCATTTATCCTTTTAAAATGTTATATATTTGAAAAGGACATTTTAAAATGTGTGTAAACATTTCTGCAGAACTTCAGGTAAAAAAATGAAACTGACTTTTTTCATCTGAGCTCATCTTGGTTGTAAAACATTTTCAAGCTTATTTGACAAACTTCCAAACTCGGTCTTTCCCAGTCTCTCCTAAAGCAAAAAAAGTTCATGTTTTATTTTTATTTAAAGATGTTCTGCAAACCAGATTAGACATCAATAATAGGCTAAATACACTTTCTGTAATTAGAAATTTAAACAGTTTAACCACTTTTGTCCTCCTTTATGCCACGTGTCTAAATGTTTTTGGATTTGTCCCTAGTGCTGGATAAACTGAAAATCTAACTTGTCCAAATTACCTTTTCAGACAATCTGATTGTTTTCACTTAATTCTATTTTCAAAACCTGAAAATGTGCTTATTTTGTTTAATGTTGCTGCTCAATATTTTTTGTTTTTAGGAACTCTGGTATTATTGAAATTGCTTTGCTCAGCAGAATTTTTTAGTGAAAGTGTTAACTTTGGCACTAAACATTTAACACGCTGGTTTTTCTGGCTTACAATAAGTGCTATCTGATGAAGACTTAAAGAAGAAAACTAGCAACAAGCTAAAGCTTCTTCTATGATCTTTGGACGGTGCTTCTGTTTGTTTTTGGCGTTTGTCGCCCTCTCGTGGTGGATTGATAAAAGTACAATAACAAGTTACCTACTGACGGAGAAATGGTGGAACAAAAAAACGTTTAAGTATGATTTTTATTTTTTTATGATTTCTTAATGTAATAATGCAAAACACAAAATATTTTATTAGCTATATTGCTGACCTTTGAATTATCAAGTATGATCTTCCTAACTTATTTTTTCCCAATCTCATCCAAAACTGAAGAAATTCATTTAGTGTTAAATGCTATTTATATATCTTACCAGATTCAACATGGGTAATGATGGGCTACATCATGCACTTTCTGTAGTTCAGAAACTGAAACAGTTTAACGCCTTTTTCCTTATGCAATATGTCTAAAGGTTTATGGATCCGTTATTCAGACATTAAGTTGTCGCCTGGAAAATAAAAGGAAATATTTGGGTTTATTTTAACTGATTGTGTTAGAAAAAATGTATTCATTATATAATTGTCCATACATCTCTTTTTTTAAGTGTCTCAACGTTACTTAACTTTAGGCCTATTTAAATGTGCATTGAATTACAGTTCACAGGTTACTGGAGTAGTGACTCAGCTATGTTGTGTGTTTATATTTTTTCATATATGAGATTTGTCTTTCTAAAATCAAAACATTTGTGTACATAATGTTTTGTTACTGTTCCTGCTCAATTATCAATATTATTTTGTTTATGGAAGTAATAGAAATGGTAAACTGCAGACGGACAAATCTCGCCCTCTTGTGGCAGAATAGCCAGCTCCACTCAATTTGAATCCGATTCAGATTAATTATTCTTTTAGAACAAAAGTTTACATTTAGTTTTCAATTGACTTATTATTTTTTTTATCCAGACACAAAGCAGTAATATCAAGTCCAAATCTGAAACACAACAAATTATGGCACAATTGCACATAACGTTTCCAATAGCGTATCTGATCTCATTTCTGTTTGTTGCTTTCACAGATGAGTCTTGGCCAGATGATTTTTATATTCTGGCTAAAAAATTCAATTTGTGAAAATAACGTTTGAGTTTTAAAACCTAATTTGGGCTGTCATAATCCAATTGTACAATAAAACATTGAATTCAATAAATTGGTGACTGAAATGAGCAACAATGATCTTAGCTTTTTTAAAGACACCCATGGGAGTTTATTTAATGCAATTGCTAAATAACATCCCATTGAAGTTTTTAGGGAAATCAGGTGAACATTTAACTTCTTTGCAAAACACGATTTTTTCCCACTTAATCTTACAATTGTTTTGTTTTGTGTAGCGGTCAAAGTGTACACGCATTGTAATAATTATGACAGCCCCTGAACGCAACACCGCCGCGTCTGGATTGGATCAGCAGACGCGTCACAGCGCGGAGGACTCAATTGACGCTCGTGAGATACTCGGAGATCGCTGAAAGCTGAAAAATAGCTTATTGAAACAGTAATGCGAAAGTTGCTTCATCCCGAGATTGAGTTGTATAATTGTTCCTCGTTTTTTACATCAAAAGTAAAGATGGATTCATTCGGTCTTCATGAGTTTGGCATCGTTTAGGAGCTTTGCGAAGGGATGGGGATTAAGAAAGCTCTCCTAATAACTAGTTTGTTCTTGGTTCACCAGATTCAAACAAACTTAACGAAATTCTCCCCTGGTAAGTGATATCACTGTAATTATTACTACACTGTTTAAATTGTTTTAGTAATAATGATACTGAATACTTCTTGTATATACATACAAGAAGTATTCAGGGTCAACTATTTGAAACTTTAGAAATGGTTTTACTGAAAGGAGAAAAATCTTCATCTGTTTGTTTTTTATGTGGGTTGATGTCTCCAAACAAGCAGGTGGACGTTTTATAATATAATTATAATGTATTATTAAGATGAATTCAAGGTCTAATCAAAATCTAGTTTGTTGCCTTTGGCAGCTTGATGGGTTTATTTCTTGGTAGGGATTGCACCAATTATTATTAAGCTACTGTTGAAATGCGTGTCTGTCTCCAGATCTGTTGTTGCAGAGCAGCGTCATAGTTAGACCACACATGGTTTGATGGTTTAAACAGCCAGCACGAACCACCACTGAATGACTGATATTTACACAACACCCACAGTTCTGCTCCCAGAGCTGCTGGTGTGAAGAATGTGAAGCATGCTTTCACCCTCCACTGTGAAGATTAAAGATGCGATTGAGAAACTGTTGAATGGTGGGCAGGGATGGCTACGCATGTTCACCACATAGCACTTGCTGAGGGGTCATGACCTGCTGCATGGTGGGAAGATGTTTATGTCTCAGGCTTTTCAAGCTGCACTGACAAACGACTTTAGCAGGAATACATACAGTTATCACAACGCACTGCTAGTTTGTGGTGTTATTTTTTACAAATATGTCAACTTAGATTAATTTTTTCACACAGAGAAGGTTGCATGTAGTCACTCAGTCTGAGCAGACCAGGGAGTGGAGACCCAGGACAGTTGACTCTGTTTGAGTTTCAGATCAGAGGGGCCAGTACAGGGATCAACGCCATCCTGAAGTACCAAATCCTGACTTCCATACTGAGGAAGGACGGCATAACTCTAAACAGATTGTTGTAAGATTCACTATTTAAGAATTTAAAATCAAACACATTAAACAAAATTTAACATTTGATAAAGTGTTGTTTTTTCTAGGTGAAGTAGTTTTCTTTGTTCATTTACTATTTAAGGATGTTGATCACATCTACTACACGTCTAAAGTCCATGGTCCTGGAGATGTTGCAGGTAAACAGCTGTGGGTGGACATCAAAGAGATGGCGAGGGGGCAGTGGAACGTCCTTAGCTTTCTGTCCAACACACACAGACATGCAGAGGTATGACCTCAGTCTGAATGAAGGAGACAATCAGGTTTTATCTATTGATGTTAAACTCGTCAATTCTAGCAACAGGAAGAACTCTGCAAAATATAGAATAGTACTTGAAGTATTTTTACCACAATTTTTATTTCAGTTTACACAAATGTTTATTTAGTCAAGAGTTTCAGGAAGTTTTATCAGCAAACCAGAAGTGAGATGCTGAGAGATCAGAGGTTAGGACATACTTTTATTTCACGATCTTCAAATTCTTGAGATGTGTGTCTGATAGCTCACTCTGTAGCACACTGGGATGGTGTGTAGAAGATTAATGGTTCAACTCCAAGTAGAAGAACACATATTTGACTTAATGTGGATTTTTACAACATAAAGAGTTCTAAAAAATTGCTGTTAACTACTATCTATTTAGCAGAGACTGCAGGGTGTTGGATTTGTGTGCCAAAGGTTCAGGGTTCAATTCCATTGAAAGTAAAGTGAATTCTTGACAACATCAAAAGCTCTAAAATACAAGCTGCATGTATCTACCAGTGTAGCTCAGTCTGAAAGACCTGTGACTTGCACTCTAGATGATGAGTTCAATCATAATGGCTGACCAATAGCCTTTTAGTTACAAACATCAAAAATAACTAAATGTCGCACCAGATCACTGACCAAGTAGGATTCATGTTAGTAAGTCACCAGCAAATGTTTTGGATCCCGCTCAGAGGCGTGTCCAGGGAGAGGCCTGGCGTAGCACATGCCACCCCTTGAGCTCCATTTAAACTGAATTTACATTGTCCACAAATGTCTTGGGAATATTAAACACAAAGAGTAGGTGGCAGCATTATTTTTAGTCTTTATTTATTTTTTCATATTGGCATAATCAGTATTTAGAATCCTGGTTGCAGTTCCACTCCACTCCTGTTGGTGGCAGTGAAGCACCAAGAAGGAGCCTGCTATCTACCACAAATTAGCTTGAAGAAGAAAAATGTGGTCATGGCACTAATGTGCCTAATGTTCATGTCCACTGGAGTGGAGTGGAAATGCGACAATGATGAAACAATAATGTTGCCACCTACAGTTTGAGGCTTATAATCCCAAGACGTTGTGGACAATGTAAAGTTAATTGAAAAGGAGCTCAGTGGCATGTGCTACCCCAGGCCACTCCCTGGAAACGCACCTGAATGGGATTCAAACCAGTTGCTGGTGACTCATGAATGTGAATCCCACTTGGCCACCAGCAACCTTCCCACTCTGAAGTTTTCTGGTGGGACATTTAAACTGGTCATTTTAAATTTGCCATTTGGTCTTTTTTGTTGTTTGTACTTAAAAGGCCAATCATAAGGTTTGAATCCACATCCTCTACACCGCAAACCACACATCTAACAGACTGAGCTACTCAAACAGACCAGTGCAACTTGTGTTTTAGAGCTTTTGATTTTGACAAGAATCCAAATAAATTCTAAATTGTCCTTCTCTGCCTGAAATTGAACCCCAAGCCAGAACCTTACACACTAAGCCATACAGGTAGGTGTTACCCAACTATTAAAGAAATCTTTATGTTGTAAAATCTGCGTGAAGTCAGTTATTTCCTCTTTAATCTTCTGCAAACCAATTTAAAATTTTACAGACTGAGCTACTCAAAATGAGATTGCTAATTTGCATTTAGCTTTTCGAGTTCAAGATCTCTTTCAAGTCCAAAACCAATTCCTACACCTGGAATTGAACCCTGAACTTTCTACAGCCTGATCATGCACCACACAGACGGAGCTAGACAAGCAGTTGAAGATGATGACTTTTTTTTTTAGTTTTCCATTTTTAAAGGGACTTTACGGAGTTTTGATTTTTTATGCTCGTGATTGCCCCCTCAGGCAAAAAGCGTAACGGCAGCTTCAATAGTAGGCTTATGCACAAGGCGCGCGTGCTGTACGTGCACACTCCTTAACGAAAATAACAGCTGAGACAGTCAGCTCCGTGTGTGTGTGTGTGTGTGTGTGTGTGTGTGTGTGTGTGTGTGTGTGTGTGTGTGGGACAGAGGACAGGAGAACGTGCAGCTAACTAATTAAATAATTTGGTTCTGTACCTTTCTCTTCAGCACAGCCGACAAAGGTTTATGATGGGTCAGTTCTCCTGCATGCTCAGATCATTCCCTTCCCTTGCTTGAAAAATTGTTCCAAAATGAAAGTTGAACCCACATCTTTTTTATCTGTGAATTCAATGCCGTTCAGCGAGTCTCAAATAAAAATGTGGGCATCTTACTGTAAAAAATATACCAGTAATGTAAAAAAAGAAACTAAATAAATTTTGTTCACATCTAGATTCGAACCCGGATTTTCCACCGTCTTTCTAGATGAGCTAAAACGCCAGTAATGTATTTTGTATCTGTAGCTTTTATATTCTTGATGACAGCTGAAACAACGTTCAAAGAACGGTTCGGAGCGAAAATGGCTATTTTGTTGCTAATTTGCAGGAAATATCTAGAAGAAAGTAGCTAAGGGTCCTCAGAAATGTAGCTAGGTTCATCACTAGGCATTAGGAACAGCGACAAAGTCGCTGAGATGGCACTACCTCACTCTCTGCTGCTAAAGCTACTGATAGCAGATGCTACGGGCTATGCCTGAGCGTAAACGCGCATGAAGCAGCCTGCTCGACCCGAGCATCTTTCTTTTTCTGTGATTTTACAGAAAAAGAGGCAATCACAGTAAAAATACCAGGGCTCATTCTACAGGACCAGGGCATTGCAGGAGAATGTATGAAGAAGAAATTTATTATTTCTATACATGTTTTGGCTGTTAAACTTCCATAATGCCCCTTTAAATTATTAACTTGAAGTCTAAAACAACTTGTTTCTACTGGGTTGAACTCTAGAAGAAGAAGAAGAAAGTATCATTTCTATAGCGCCTCTCAAGATAAAAATCACAAGGCGCTTCAAAAAAACAAAAAATGTAAAAATACAAAAACGCATTTAGAAAATGTTTAAAAATATATTTAAAATGAGCAAAAATATTGATAAATGATCCGCACTTGTATAGCGCCTCTCAGAGTAAGGACTCCAAAGCGCTTTACACTACAGTGTATCCATTCATCCATTCACACACACACTCATGGTGATGAGCTACAATGTAGCCACAGCTGCCCTGGGACGCACTGACAGAGGCGAGGCTGTCCAGCACAGGCGCCACCGGTCCCTCCGACCACCACCAGCAGGCAGTCTTGCCCAAGGACACAACAGCAGAATTCTCTGTCAGGAGCCGGGATCGAACCTGCAACCTTCCGATTACTGGACAACCCGCTCAACCTGTTGAGCTACTGCTGCCTCAAAAATAGACAATTGTGATCAAAAAAATGTTAAGAAAGAGAGAGTGAATAGGAAAGAGGGAAATCAGTGGATCCTGAGGAAGGTGGAATAGGTTCACCCTGGCTGAACAACCAGATTCTTGAACTTAGATGCTCCTATAAAAAAGCGGAACGACGGTGGAAGAGTACAGGTCTGGTTGTTCATCGCGAACATTTTAAAGAACTTCTAGAGTCATACAACGAAGCTGTAGAAAATACCAGGTCTTCTTTCTTCAGCAACCTCATATGCCAAAATAAGAATAATCCTAAGGTTTTGTTTGATGCCATCTCCAGCATCATGTCTTCTCCTCTGCAGCAGGCTCAGCTATCTTCAGCTGATGACTGTAACAGATTTCTCCACTTTTTTGAAAACAAGGTGCTGAATCTGAGATCCAGCATTCCACCAGCCCTCCCCCCCTCAGGGGGGGGGGGGGGGAGGCCCCTCAGTGCTCAGAGTCTTTCACCTCCTTCTCCCCAATTACACTAAATGACTTAACCTCAATAATCAGTCAGATGAAACTCTCATCATGCTCATCAGATTTCTTAACTCCCTCTGTTTTAGTCGGGTCCCTTGGCGCTATCAGTCCATCTCTGTTGACTATAATCAACAGCTCACTGAGCCAAGGCTGTGTTCCATCTTACTTTAAAAATGCACAAGTGACTCCTCTCTTAAAGAAACCCAACCTTGACGCCAGCTCCACCAGTAACTTTAGGCCCATTTCTAAGCTACCTTTCATCAGCAAAGTACTTGAGAAGGTTGTTGAAACTCAACTCAGATCCTGGTTTTCTAAGTCAAAGATCTCTGACCCCTTCCAATCTGGCTTTCTGAAGCAGCACTCAACTGAGACTGCTCTAGTAAGGGTGCATAATGACCTCCTGATGGCTGCTGATGCAGGGAAATGCTCTGTCATGGTCCTGCTTGACCTCAGTGCAGCTTTTGACACTGTAGACCACAACGTTCTACTAAACAGGTTAAAGGCCCTGGCTGGGATTTCAGGTTCTGCTCTAGACTGGCTCTCTTCCTATCTCACTAACAGAACATTCACAGTGAAGTGCGAAACCTTCTCTTCAGATACTGCCTCTCTAACATGCGGGGTCCCACAAGGTTCATTTCTAGGGCCTCTACTATTCGCATTCTATATTCTTCCCCTAGCTGGCATCATTCAGTCTTTCCCAGACATCTCCTACCACATCTACACTGATGATATTCAGCTCTATATGTCCTTTATGCCACACCAGTTGGACAGGCTGGCCACACTTGCACTCTGCCTGACCCAGATCAGTAACTGGCTGTCCAGCAACTTTCTTGTCCTCAATGCTAACAAGACAGAGACCCTGATCGCTGCACCCCCGGAACTTCAGCCAAAAATTGAGCAAGAAATTGCCTCTTTTTGCCCATCAGCCAAGGCCAACATTAGAAACCCAGGAGTTATTTTTGATCCAGCTTTAAGTTTAGACTCACACGTCAAAGCCATCTCCCGCTCTTGTTTCTTTCAACTGAGAAACATTTCAAAAGTCCGTAAACTGGTTTCTACTGCAGATCTGGAAAAAAAATCATCCATGCCTTTGTGTCATCACGCTTAGACTACTGTAACACTCTTTTTACTGGTCTCAGCAAAACCTCCCTCTCACGCTTTCAAGCCATCCAAAATGCAGCAGCAAGACTCCAGACCAAATCCAGAAGACGAGCTCACATCACTCCAGTTTTACAGTCCCTCCACTGGCTCCCGGTAGAATATAGAATTCAGTTTAAAGTTTTAGTCCTGACCTATAGAGCTCTTAACAACCAGGCTCCAAGCTACCTATCTGAGCTTTTATCCCCACACATCACCTCTCGGAACATTAGATCCACATCTGAAAACCTCCTGGCTGTTCCTCGAACCAGACTGAAAACCAAAGGGGACAGGGCCTTTCAGACTATTGCACCCAGACTTTGGAACAGTCTACCTTCAAATCTCTGTCTCTTTAACACTTTAGAGGTCTTTAAAATCATCTAAAAACTCACCTTTTCATCCAGGCGTTCCCTCCCTAAATGTTTCAAAAAGATGGCTTTGTTCAGGTTCACACCTTCACTTTGTTTATACTCATGATTTGATTTTCTACTTTATCACTGCTATTGTTTTTCGGATGTTTTTATTGGTTAGAGGTATTTGCCTTGATCTTTATCATGTTGTACAGCGCTTTGTGATTTATATCTGTGAAAGGCACTATATAAATAAAATTTTACTTACTTACTTACTTACTTAGGTGGGGTGAGCAGAATAAAGACAGAGTGGTGAAGAAGGTCATACAAAAGCCAGCTTGAACAAGTGAGTCTTCAGCTGCTTTTTAAAGGAGACCACTGAGTCCACTGATCTCAGGCTCAGGGGGAGAGAGTTCCAGAGTCTGGGGGCCACAGCAGCAAATGATCTGTCATCTTTGGTCTTTAGTCTGATGCGCTGCACAACCAGTACGCTTTGATCACTGGACCTCAGGGACCTGCTGAGGGTGTAGGGACTAAGAAGATCACCAATGTAAGATGGTGCTTGTCCATGTAAGGCCCTATAGACCAGAACCAGGATCTTGAAATGAACCCTGAAGTTGACTGGCAGCCAGTGAAGCTGGAGGAGATGCGGGGTGATGTGGGTGTGTTTGGAGGACTTGGTCAGAAGCCGAGCACAGGTATTCTGAACCACCCGTAGTCGGTTCAGGGAGGTTCTGCTCAGACACTTGAAAAGAGAGTTACAGTAGTCTAAGCATGAGGAGATGAAAGAGTGGAAAACTGTCTCAGATTACAAGCGGGACAGAATGGGACTCAGCTTAGCAATGTTCCTGAGATGGAAGAAGGAAGAGCAAACAAGAGAACTGACATGAGAATCCAGGGTGAGAGCTGGGTCAAAGGTCGCACCAAGATTCCTGACAGAAGGTTTGGTGTGGGAAGCAAGCTGACCAAGAGAGTCTCTGACTTTGGGAACCAGCTTGTCTGGGGCACAGATGAGGATCTCAGTCTTATCTTCATTCAGCTGAAGAAAGCTCCCAGCCATCCAGGTTTTGGTAGAGTCTAAGCAGGTGTGTAACAGCTGGAGCTTAGACATCTCATGGGGCTCAAAGGAGATGTACAGTTGGATGTCATCTGCATAAAGATGGTAGGAGATTCCTTTGAAGGAGCTCAAGATGTGCTGAAGTGGAAGCAGATAGAGGAGGAAGAGCAGAGGCCCCAGCACAGAACCTTGTGGGACACCATGGGTAAGAGAGGTGGTGGAGGACCTAAACTTGGAGACGGCCACAGAAAAGGAGCGCTCAGAGAGATAAGAGGAGAACCACTCCAGAGCAGATCCTGATAGGCCTACCCAGTCTCTGAGCCTCTCCAGTAGCAGGTGATGGTCAACAGTGTCAAAGGCTGCAGTCAGGTCCAGCAGGACCAGAACAGAACAGTCCCCTGCATCACTGTGAGTCAGAAGGTCATTAGAGACCCTAAGAAGAGCTGTTTCAGTAGAATGAGCTCTACGAAAACTGGAAGCTATCATAGATGTTATGTTCATCAAGAGCAGCTGTGGGTTGTTTAGCCACAACCTTTTCCAAGATCTTGGAGATGAACGGAAGTTTAGAGATTGGTCTGAAGCTGCTATGGAGAGAGGGGTCGAGACTCGGTTTTTTAAGAAGCGGGTGGATTACAGCATTCTTAAAGTAAGCAGGGACCTGACCAGAGACCAGAGAAGCATTAATTATAGAGAGCACACTGGGACCGATGGACTGAAAAGCACTTTTAAACAAAGATGAGGGTAAGATGTCGAGGGGGCATGCAGAGGTCTTCA